CAACCTGGTCTGAAGAAGGCTCGAAGAGCCGAAACTTGTTACCCTCAAAACCTTTTTACACAAGAGTTTTTTTAAAGCAAGCCTACACAAACACAATCAGGGTGTTTTGCTAATAGCTGCTGCTACGCAATGTCATGGCTCCTGTATGGGGCTTCCTTGGACGCACCGCTAGCAAAGGATTTCTCCTCCCTGCTCCATTCCTCTCCCTTCTCGTTCCTCCTTGTGGCTGTGTCTTACTCTCAGGGTGCTGCGGGTGGGGGGTCTTCCCACCACCACCCCTGTACAAACGATCATCACTGCTTTCAGCAAAGTCGGCAGGGTTGGGGTGAGTCCCGCCTCGCTCTACTCCCTTCTTGTATCCGCCCATGCCCTTGTATGTTGTCACTGCGGGGCAATTGCTGTTTTTTGGTATTCCCTTTCGCTCTCCCCCCCTTCTCCCCTCCATCCCTCGCTTCCTACGCCCGTCCCCCTGCCTCCCGTTTTCCTCCCCCTCCCCCCTCTCTCCTCCCCCCCCCCTCCCTCTCCCCCTCCCCCCCCCCCCCCCCCCCCTCTCCCTCTCCCTTCTCCCTCCCCGCCCTTCCCCGTCTCACTCTCATGTGAATCACAAAGCAGAATACAAGCCTAATATAATTGCCATCCTCTCCCCCAACCTCCCTCCCTACCACCGTCCACGAATCTTGCCCGTGTGGCATGGCAGCATGTGGGTCTTTCTAGTGGAACCTTCCTCCTCACATTTGACTCGGTCCGCACAGCTACTGTTGCCAAGCGCATGATGCATCGGTACGTGATGGCTCCAGTGCTTGATTGTATGGGTACACAGCGTGTGTGTGCGTGTGTGTGTGTGTGAGTGTGCGCGCGCGCGTGCGTGCTTGGGTGTGTGCGCGTGTGTGTGTGTGTGCGTGCGTGCGTGCGTGCGTGTGTGTTTGTGTGTGTGTGTGTGTGTGTGTGTGTGTGTGTGTGTGTGTGTGTGTGTGTGTGTGTGTGTGTGTTTGTTTATTTCGGAAGCTGTGTAATGGATCGGAGTGTTGCAGGTATAAACAATGTACTAGGATTGTTTTGCGATGCCGTCAGCACTTCAGGCTTATTGATTAGGGTGCGCGAGGGGTACATTATATATTGCTTCATTGCTCTCTGCTTGGGGTGGTTGCGTCAACCAAATGGAGCTTTAGTTATTCATCTGATCCCCACTCCTCTCCCCTTCACCCTTCCTTATGTCTGCTTTTCAGGTCCTTGCTAGCAGGGCATCAAATCACAGTGGATTTTTCTCGCCAATAAAATTACTTCACGTATGGTTCAGGCGGTTAGACTTCGTAAAAAATAGTGGTTTACTAGGTTTGCAACCAGGCATGATAGTTACTTCTGAAGCTTTTGGATAAGTTCGTATGTTCCTGAACTGTGACGGTGTAGTCTATAAAAGCCTTGCTACTGTTGCGATGAGATCGGAATGCGGTTTGAAGCATGTCCTCAGAGACTACCCAAGTCATGCGGAATTCTGGTATATTCTACTTCTCTGTACCGTACTGCAACCGCTAAAACCGTGGATAGTTAGTTTGAGACCGCACAGTACGAGAAACGAACCGAACCTTGCTGGAACAGATTTGTCAAGCTGACTTAGTGTGTGACACCAGAAATTCGAGATCCTCCATCCAACCTACACTCATCCTCCACACTCCCTTTCTCAGGAGGCAGTGAAACCAAGTCTCTCTGTCTCTTGTTTCTCATTACTGCTGCATATTTCTGTTCCAAGATTGTCCTCAGCGGCAGCCATGGCTCGCACGGCCGTGTTCATCCTCGTCGCTCTGTCGCTTCTCGGCGTTGCGTTAGCCGAAGTCGCAGCACGAGACGTGCTCGTTCTTGATGAGAATAATTTCAAATCTACCGTGAGATCCAGCTTCAAGCAACTTCTTTCCACCTTCCTTTCGGCTTTCCCTCAACCCCGTAGCTGCGTGAAAGCCTCCACTTGCGAAGCCAGCATGTTTTTCTCCCTCTCCATGCCTTACCGTTCCGTGCTTCTCAGATTTCTCTGCGTGCCTTTCCCCTCTTCCGCCACGACAGGCTCGCTCAATTTTCCCTTTCTCTTCTTCCGCCGTTTCGTATTTGCTGCAGATCGACGATCATTCCAAGGCATACTTTATCAAATTCTTCGCGCCGTGGTGTGGTCACTGGTCCGTTCCTCTTCCATTTCATCCCCGCCCTTTCAACCACACATAAGCCATTCCTCCCCGACATTCCATGATATCGACCTCTCAATCGGTTATTCAATCAACCACTATCGCGTTCCTCGCATTGCGAACCTTCTAGATCGCTTTTTCCTTTTTTGCCATATCTCCCGGCTCGCTCACATCCCGTTCCCTTATTTACCCCCCTTCAATCCCTCTCTTCCCGTCCGCCCGTCCTGCCGCGGTCCTTCCGCCGATCCGCCTCAGCAAGCGCCTGGCGCCGACGTGGGCGGAGCTGGCGTCGGCGAAGGTGGCCCCGGAGGTGGTGATCGCGCACGTGGACTGCACGGCCTCACGCAGCGTGTGCGAGGAGCAGGAGGTGAGCCCTTTCTGAGAGTTCTCAAAGATCTGTAGCAGGAGGTGAGGGATTCGCGAGGATTTATCGAAACCTATACCAGGAGGTGAGAGTGCGCGCGTGCGCTGCTTCGTCCGCGTTCTGAGTCCGTTGTCGCTCAAGTTATTGACCAGATAAGATTTAGAGAGAATGGTCCTGGCCTGGTTGCCTTTCCCTACGATCTCCAGTATCTATGTTTCAGACTGGAAAAGCAATGCTGTGACTTTCTCTCACAGTTACTCCAAACATTCTTATTGCCTTGAATGCAGCAATGCTGCAATGCAGCACATGCTGGTTTGCAGTCCTTGGCTTCCGGGTTTACATAATTTGCCTTATGTGTAATTTCTGTTTTTTGGTCTGGGCTCCCTCTGGCATGGTATGGCAGATCCGCGGATATCCCACTCTCAAGGTGTTTGTGAAGGGAGAGGGGAAGGAGAAGTACTCTGGTGGCCGGGACCTTCAGTCTTTGAGCACGTACGTGCAGGAGGTTGCCGAGGATTTCAAGGACTCGGTTGCTGCTGCTGATGCTAAGGAAGCAGACACAGAGGCTGCAGTGTAAGTGGCTGGTTAGTTACAATAGCTGGTGAAGTGTTGCTGAATTGTGGTGCGTGCTTCTGTTTTAGTGTGCGCAGCATGTGCCAAATCCTTAGTACGGTATTATTGAGGACTCGGGCAATTCACTCCAATGTTCAGCAACTTGAGGTGGTCCAAGGCAGTGGTGTATGACAACCATTTAGTGAGACAAGCCAGTTATCAAGCTATGGATTACCATAGGAAGTCAGTTCATAGGCCTCAACGCATCACACTAAGATAAAGGAGATGAAGGAAAGATAAATGAAAATCATGGAGTTTCTTCGTTTATTTTCTTTATCTTTCCTGAGCATAACCTCCAGCCACATCCTCGCATCTGTCACGGAGGTTTCGAAAAGCTTCTTGATGGAAGCATGATTTTCCGACATTGTCCTCCGCCAATCGCAACCTCCTCGACGTAATTTATACGGCGCAGCACCCCCTCTCTGAAAACATATTGTGCGTGCCCTGGAGCACGTACAGTATTAGTTTGAAGAAATACCTCCGTGTGATGTTCTTTGCCGAAGAACTACACACATCTCTACACGTTTTGACAACATTCTTTTACCCTGACCGCAGTTTCTTTGTCCGACCACCAAAGCCGTGCCATGCCTCTGCTCCGCTGCCCTACACTTGTTCCGCCCACCCATCATTGGGGCCCGGATGTGAGCAAGCCCGCCAACCCCCGCCAGAGTGCAGCGCAGAAGGCAACCTCCCCAGCTTGTTTTATTTCCGCCTACCTTCCCCGCAATTCCCTCTTCCACCTCCGTCTCCGCTTCCTCCTTCCGCTTCATAATGCCTTCCTGTGTACTACAAAGCCATTCACCACACACAACCAGATCAGGACATTTTCACAAACCCTATTACCGCGCTCAAACATTATCGCAAACCCCTATTGCCTTTCGCCGCTGCGCTGCTTCCAACCCACACCCTTTCTTGATGATGCTCCCAAGCGCTTGCAGTAGCAGCCACACACACACGGAACAGAGCCCTGCAATGCTGGGATAATTCGGTTTTTGCAATTTCGTGTGGTGCTGCTTCGCTTTGGCGCCATGAAGTGCTGCAGTGCAGGATACGTATGAGGAGGATCGCCTGAGGAGCCATTTGTTTTCTCGCTGTCTGTGAGCATCACAGATGTTCACTGACTCACGGGAGCCGCAGGTTCTTGGTGATTTTTTTTCGCTAGGTTCTCGGCATCGACGCCAGAAGCCACTAGGAACGTCTGACAATCGATCTTACATGTCAAGAATCGCGAATCGTGTGCATGGATGCGTGAACCGGCTAGCGAGTTTACCTCGTGTCGACAACCGTGGAGTTTAACAGTTCTTCCGACAGTTTACCTGCTGGATGATTCTGGATGATAGTATCCGCCAGATGAAACTTGTTTCGCACTTCGCGATGCTCCCGCCAATTTCGTCGTCTGACTTACCTCACAACCTGTTTTTCCTCTATGTCAAGAACTGATCCCGCTGATAAGTCAAAGGAAGAAGGCGATTATCTGCGGTCCGTTATGTTCTCATAGGAACTGAACGTTCGAGACTGTCTAACCGTACGACTGATCTTAAGCGACTTACCGTACGCGACTGGCCGTACGACTTACCGTACGCGACTGGCCGTACGACTGACCGTAAGCGACTGACCGTACGCGACTCTCCCGACGCGAGGACGGTACCACGACTCTCCCCGCAACATTCCTTTCTTCTCCTCCTCGCGCAACTCCTTGCTGTTGGAAAAAAAAGGACAGGAAACAAGACCGGGGTGCTGACTTTCCCGTTGCAGCAACCGCTAAGGATCTAGAGGGATCGTGCGGCAGCAGCAACAGCAACAGCGGCAGCAGCAGCAGCGGCAATAGCGGCACCGGCAGCGGAAATTGATCTATGGCGGGAGGCAGTGCGGCGACGGCGACTACCTCCGCGGGTCTTGATCGCGCTCGTGGTGCGCAGTGGGGCGCGTCGAGACCGGCCGCTTCTCGACCAACCGTAGCCTCTGATTCCGCCGCGATTTGCGCGTCTGGCGGCGACGACGGGCACGGGCACGGGCGCGGGGATAACGTGGGCGCAGTTCGGCGGGAAGAGGGGCGCGAGGGGGGGAAGGGCAAGGCGCAGTGGCGCGTGGAAGCGCCGCAAAAGGGGCGGGAGGGGCCGGAGGAGCAGCAGGCGGAGGAGGACGAGAATATGGGGGGAGCGCACGGGGGCGCGGAGGACGGCGGGGATGGCGGAGATGCGGGGGACGGGGCGGACGGCGGGGAGTTGCGCAAGGGGCAGTGGACGGCGGAGGAGGACGAGCTATTGCTGAAGTGTATTCAGCAATACGGAGACGGCAACTGGAGTTCCATCCCCAAGCGCGCAGGTCAGGCGGGATTGCGAATCACGCGCCCCTTTTTCAGTCCGTCTCAGTGATAGAATTTCGCGCCTTTCTTCAGTCGTTTCCCTTTTCTTTCTACTTCTCTTTCCTCATTTTATTTTTATTTTTTGAGAATGCTTATCCGCCCTCCACGAGAGAAGTGCTCTCCACCCACTTCCCTCACGCACTCCCTCTCTCATGCGCTCCCTCTCTCATGCGCTCCCTCTCTCATGCGCTCCCTCTCTCATGCGCTCCATCCCTTTCTCCCGTCCAGGCCTGCGGCGGTGCCGCAAGAGCTTCGGCTGCGATGGGCGAACTACCTGCGCCGGACCTTCCGCCCACACCCTTCTCGTCCTCCCACACAGACCCCCTTTTCCCCCCTCCCCCCTCTTCCCCGCCGCCCCTTCTCCCCATGCAGGCCTGCGGAGCTGCGGCAAGAGCTGTCGGCTGCGATGGGCGAACTATATGCGCGCGGATCGTTCCTCCGCATCCTATCCACAGTCTTACCCCCCACCCCCCACCTTTCCCCCCACCTTTTCCCCCACCTTCCCCCCTTTCCCCCTCTCCGCGTGCAGGCCTGCGGCGGTGCGGCAAGAGCTGTCGGCTGCGGTGGGCGAACTATCTGCGCCCGGATCTGAAGCGAGGGGCGTTTTCAGACGACGAGGAGGACCTGATCATTCGCCTGCACGCCGCGTGGGGGAACAGGTGCGGTGGGCGGTGGTGGGGGAACAGGTGGGTGGGAAGGAGGGTGTGGGGAAGCGGGGAAGGATTGGGGTGGGGTGGGGGGGGAGAAGCTGAGGGCGTTTTCGGACGACGAGGAGGACCTGATCATCCGTGTGTGATAAGTAAGTCGAGTTTTGAGTCGACTCAAAACTCGAGGAGGACCTACCTGATCATCCGCCTGCACGCCGCGTGGGGGAACAGGTGCGGTGGGTGGTGATGGAAGGGGTGGGGGAAGGGGGCGGGGGGGTGGGGGAGAAGGGAAGAAGGGTTGGTGAGGACCTTATTATCCGCATGCTCGCCGCGTGGGGGAATATGTGGGTGGGTGGTGGTGGGGGAAGGGGGGGGATGGGGAAAGGGGGGAGGATTGAGATGGGTTGGTGAGCGAGGGGCGATCCCGGTTGACGACGAGGAGGAGGAGAACCTCTTTTGCAAATACTCATCTGTTTTTACGAAATCTCCCCATTTCTCCCCCTCCGCCCTCCGCCCTCTCGCTCTCCGCCGTGTTGAACCCGCCTCCCCCTGTCCCCGCGCCACACGCCCCCCCGCCCCTGCACGTGCGCGTCCCGCTGTTTCCTTGGTGGTCCGCTGTGCAGGTGGGCGAAGATCGCGTTAGAGCTACCAGAGCGGACGGATAACGATATAAAGAACCACTGGAACATCAAGATGAAGCGCCGCCTTCACCTCCGTCCCCCCCCCCCCCCCCCCAACTCCCCCCTGTTTCCTTGGTGTCCCGCGCGTGCAGGTGGGCGAAGATTGCCCTGGAGCTACCAGGGCGGACGGACAACGGCATCAAGAACCACTTGACCTTCATGTCCACCCTTTCGTTCCCTCCCTTGCTGGTGCACACTGTGCTGTGCAGGTGGGCCAAGATTGCCCTGGAGCTACCAGGGCGGACGGACAACGACATAAAGAACCACTGGAACACCAAGATGAAGCGCCGCCTCAAGGAGCAGGGCATCGACCCTGACTCGCACCGACCCCTCTCCTCCATCTCCCCAGGTCCGCTTCCGCTCTCCCCCTAGCTTGGCTCTCTCTCCCCAGTTCTGCTCTCTCCCCGGGCCTTCTCTCTCCCCGGGCCTTCTCTCTCCCCGGGCCTTCTCGCTCCCCAGATCTGCTACTTTAAGGTTCGTCTTGCATTGCCTTGCTTTTCTTGCCAGTCCTCTTCATCCCTTTATCTCCCTCCCTCTTCACCTCTCCTCACCTCTTCATCCCTCTTTACCCCTCTCAATCCCTATTCATCCCTTGCCACCGCATGTAAGACTCTCTGCCGCCCTCCTCCTCAACCCCCCTCCTTCCCCCGCTCTCCCTTCCCCCGCTCTCCCTTCCCCCTCTCTCTCTCTGTCTCCCCCCTTTCCCCCGCATGCGCCACCACAGACCAGCCGCCCAAGCAGCGCGTGAAGCGCGGACCTCCCCCCGGGAGCTCCCCCGTGCGCCTGCACAAGGTGCTCAAGGACTCTCTCGCCGCCTCCCCCCTCTCCGCCTCCCCCCTTCCCGCCACCCCCCACTCCGCCACCCCCCACTCCTCCACCCCCCACTCCTCCACCCCCCACTCCTCCACCCCCCTGTCCGCCTCCCCCCTCTTAGCTCCCAAGCTCCACTCCCCTGCTGCTGCTGCGTCGTCTCTCCCCCGCGCCTCCCCCCCTCCGCTCTCGCTCCTTCCCGCGCCCCAGCTCCCTTCGTCGTCCTCTGCTGCTGCTGCCGCGCGCTCTGCTCCTGCCCATCCTCCTGCTTCGTTGCTGGCCTCGTCAGCGCTTGCTGCTGCGAATGCAACGCAGCTATCAGCAGCACAAGGAGCAGGGACAGCAGCGGCAGCCGCAGCAGCAGCAGCGACTGCTGTTGCTACCTCCACCTCTGCTGCTGCTGCTGCTGCTGCTACGGGAACGGGCGGGGGAACTGGCAGGGGAATGGTAGAGAATAATGAAGCATTGTTGCAGGGCAAGGGACACGAAACACTGTCCAAGGGGTTGGCAGGGATGGCAACCGGTTTGCAGGGGTCTGTTGGTAACGCTCTCGGTGCTGTTAAATCCGAGAGGGGGGAGTCAGAGGGTGGTTGCGTGAAAGCAGAAGGGGGAGTTGCTGTAAAGGCGGAGAGACAGGGGGAGTGGCAGGGAGAGAGGCAAGGGGGAAGGCATGGGGAGGGGCAGGGGGGAAGGCAAGGGGAGGGGCAAGGAACAGGGTTAGCAGCGGGATGGGGACGGGGTAGCACGAGACGAGCAGGGGTAGCAGCAAAGGATGCGGGAGATTCGGCTGGAAGTGCAGGATATGAGGGTAAGGGTGGTGTGGGTGGTGGGAGTGGTGTGGGTGCCTATTTGCATACGACACGCCCGGGTGATGGGAGTGCTGATGTGTCAATGCCAAGTGCTGATGTGTCAATGCCAAGTGCTGAGGGTAAGGCTGGTGAATATGCGGATGCGGATGCTGTAAGGATGGAGTCGTTAGGGAGAGGCGGGTCGGATGGTAGAGACAAGGGCTTGGGCGGGGGAGGAGGAGGGGGCGAAGGGGGTGAGGAGTTGGGGAACGGGCAAGGAAGGTTAGACGCGAGTTTGTTGCTCAAGCTGCTGGCCGGAAAGGTTGCGGCTGCTGCTCCTGCCGGTGCCGGTGGTTCTGGTGCTGCTGCTGCTGCTGCTGCTGCTGCTGCTGCTGCTGCTGCTGCTGGTACTGGCGGTGGTGGTGGCGGATTGTCCTTGGAGCGCAAAGACCTACACCTGCTACTGCAGCAGCTACCAGTGCCGGTTCGACTCAAACTGCTGCAGCAGCACCAGCAGCACCAGCAGCAGCAGCAGCAGCAGCAGCAGCAGCAGCAGCAGCAGCAGCAGCAGCAGAATCAGCAGTGCCGTCAGCAGCAGAATCAGCAGCAGCAGCAGCAGAATCAGCAGCGCCGTCAGCAGCAGAATCAGCAGCAGCAGCAGCAGCAGCAGCAGCAGCAGCAGCAGCAGCAGCAGCAGCAGCAGCAGCAGCAGCTGCAGGAGGTGGGGATGGAATGGATGGATGTGGAGGGTGAGGACGGACAAGGGTTAGGAGGAGGACGGGGAGGCGCTGCCTCTGCCTCTGATGCTTGTGAGAGTGAGAGCGAGGCAATGGCACAGCAGCAGCAGCAGCTGCGGTGGCATGTCAACCGGCTGCTGCTGCAGCGTTCTGCAAATCTGCAACTGCGGCAGCAACAGCAGCAGCAGCAGCAGCAGCAGCAACAGCAACAGCAACAGGAGGAGCAGTGGCAGCAGCAGCAGCTCCAGCAGCAACAGCAGCGGCGGCGGCAACAGCAACGGGAGCAATGGAGTGGGGAGAATGGGAGGGGGCGAGAGGATGCAAGCTCGTCTGGTTCCCAGCAGCAGCAGCAGCAGCAGGGTGTGGCGGAATCAGCGAATGCAGTGCTGCAGCTGCTTCGTGCACTCAAACAAGTGTCTTCCGGCCAGTCCCTCTCTTCAGCTGTTGCGGCTGCTGCTTCTGCTCTTAACTCCTCAGCACCAGCAGCAGCACCAGCACCAGCAGCACCAGCAGCACCAGCAGCACCAGTAGCAGCAGCACCCCACACCAGCTCGTTCGGACGTCACCCCCTACCCGCCTCCTCCCACCCCCACTCCCACCCACGCTCCCACTCACTCTCCTCCCCTCCCCACAACCCCCATCCATCCACATCCCCGGTCTCACCCATCCCTGCCGTTTCCCCTCTGTCTGGCGAAGCAGCTATGTCCGTCTCTGCTCCTTGCCCCTCTTCCTCCAGCCCCCCTTCCCCTGCTGACGCCTCTCCCCCTCTGCCGTTCTCTCAGAGGGAGCTAGAGCAGCTGGTGCGGCTGCTGCCCCCGTCGCTGCTATCCCGCCTCTTGGCTCGTCTAGAAGATGCTATTGATGGAGGCGGGGAAAGCAGTGGTGGTGGTGGTGCCGCTGGTGCTGGTGGTGCTGCTGCAGGGGATGCAGCAGGTGTTGCTGGTAGTTCTGCGGCTGGTAGCCTAGCAGAAGATGGGTTAGGAACGGTGGGTAGCGGTACTGCAAAAGCTGTGGCTAGCAGCAACGCAGCTTCTGCGTCTCCTCTCAAGGGTCATGTGCCCCCGCCCGCTTTCCTTGCCTCCTCTCTCCTCGGTTCTTCGCGCCGTCAGCGCTCTTACCTCCCCTCCTCCAATCCTCCTCCTCCTCCTGCTCCTGCTGCTGCTTCTGCTGCTTCTGCTGCTGCGGCTGCTGTGGCTGCTGCTGCTGTTGCTGGCTTGGCTGCCTCCCTCGTTGCTCCCTCGTCCTCCCTCCTCTCCTCCTCTCTGCACTCCTCGCTCTCTTCCCAACCAACCGCCATGCCTCCGCCCTCTTCCCTTCCTCCTTCCTCTCGCCTCACTCAAAACCATCGACAGCAACAGCAGCTGCAGCAGCAGCAGCAGCAGCAGCAGCAGCTGGAGCAGCAGCGGCTAGAGCAGCAGCAGATGGAACAGGATGGCCTTTCAACCCAGCTACTTCCTGTCCCATCCACCTTCTCCCCTCCCCCTCCCCTTTCCGGCAATGACGATCCGTCTGCTCCCTTCCCCCGTTCCCCCTCCCCTCCCCCGTCGCTCTATCTTGAGCTCGCCTCCCCCTCCTCCTCTGCGCTTAGGGCGTGTGGTGGGCGCTTTAGATTTGATGATATGCCTATTAGGGGAAATAATAGGTATGGCCACGAGAAGGTGGAATTTCCTGCTGCTGCTGACGCCTCTGCCTCTGCCGCCGCCGCCGCCGCTGCTGCTGCTGCTGTTAATGGTGGCAGTGGTGGCTGTGCTGGTGGTGGTGCGTTGGGGGAAGCAGGGAATGGGATGGGGCGGAGAGGCAGCATAGGGTTTGAGGATGGAAATTCCCTCTCGCTCATGCCCTCCCCGTGCCTGCCAGACGAAGCTGTAGCGGCTCCTGTGCCTGCTACAGCTGCAGCGACAACTGCTGCTGCTGCTGCTGCTGCTGCTGCTGCTGCTGCTGCTGCTGCTGCTGCTGCTACTAGTTCAATCTCTGGAGAAGCTTCAGAAGCCAGTGGGAGTATGGGAGCAGATGGGGGAGGAGGAGCGGCAGCAAGAGCAGTAACGGCGGCAGCAGTAGCAGCAGGGGCAGCTCATGGGCCGAGCTTAACAATACCACGAGCAGCAGCAACAGCGAGCGGAGGAGCAGCAGCAGCAGCAGCAGCAGGGAGTGCAGGGGCAGCAGCAACAGGAGGAAGCGGAGGAGCAGCATCGACAGGAACAGGCGAGACTACCACACCGACACTCAAGAGACGCCCGTCGGCCTTCCGAGTGCTGTCTGTGGTCATACCCACAGACACCGCTGCTGCAGACGAGCCCCCTCCTGCCCCCGCGCCTGGTAGCCGCGGTTCCACTGGACGATCCATGCCCCTGCTGCCCTTGGACCTTGCGGGAGCAGGAGCAGGAGCAGGAGGAGGGGCAGGAGCAGGAGGAGGAGGAGGAGGAGTGGGGGTTCCTGGTGGTGTTGGTGCTGATGGGGGAGGAGAAGAGGGAGGAGGAACCGCAGCAGGAGCAGCAGCAGCAGCAACCACAGCAGCGCCAGTGGGAGGAGCAGCAGGGCAGGGGTTGGGTGCGCCCCCTGTACCGTCCTTCTCTCCCAGAAGCCCCTGGGGGAGTGACAACCAGTTCTGGGACTTCAGCAGCGAGAGCAGCGATCTAGCCGGACCTGCCTTCCTCCCGTCCCCCAACTTCCTCCCCCCACCGCCCTTCACCCCGTCGTCCATCCCCGTCCCGTTCACTCCATCATACCCGGTTCCGTTTACTCCCTCATACCCTATACCGTACAGCCCGGGTGCTGCTGTGAGAGACCTCACTGCGTTTGATAGGGCCCCGCTGGCCTCTCCTGCCACGCCGCAGTCCCGCTCCCTCTTCCATTTCCTGCAGAGCATTCCGGATTGCTCCAGAGGCTCCTCCTCTTCTTCCGCTGCAGTCAACACACCGGGAGCAGGGGTTTTCGCTCCTTCCCATCCTGCCGCCGCCGCCGCCGCTGCTGCTGCTGGCACTGCTGGTACTGGTGCTGCCTCTCTGCCTGGTTATGGTTCCCTTCTTAGCTCTGCGTATAATGGTGCTACCACTGATGCTGCTGCTGCAGCGTCTACCCCTGGTGTTTTTGCTGTTCCTTCTCTCCCAGCCCACTCCGCCTCAGCATCCGCCCAGGTAACAGGGTTACCAGCAGGCATAACACCACCGGCCAGCACCAGTGCTGATGCTGCAGCATTTGCTGACAGAGAGAAGGGTTTGAAGGGGTTTCGAGATCCGATTTCGCCACGGCCTGCTGTACCTGCTTTTGCTGTCTCTGGCGTCGCTCCCACCACCGCCCCTGTTACTGCTGCACCTTCTGGTAGTGGTGCTGCAGGTAATAGCACTTCATCTTTTCCCCCCGGTTGCTCGAAATCGCTCATGCCTCCTCCGCCGCCTCGTACGCTGGTTCCCAAGACCCCCAGTCAGGGGCAAGCGGGCGACCTTCCCTTCCCGCCTGAGGAGCGTGTGAGGAATGAGAAAGCTCGTTTGAGTGCCGGGGGGAAGGAGGAGGAGCAGCAGCAGCAGCAGCAGAAGGGGAGGGTGGAAGAGGGTGAGAAAGGGGCAGGAGAGGAGAAGAGAGGGGATGGGACAGAGGAAAGGGAGGATATGGAAGTTGAGGTGAAAGGGAGTGTGTCTTCAGAGCTTGGCAAGCAGCAAGAAGCAGCAACAGGAGGATTATCAGCAGCAGCAGCAGCAGCAGCAGGAGCAACAACAGGAGCAGCAGCAGCAGCAGCATCAACGGCAGCAGCAAAGTCAGACTCCCCTCCCGCGCCAGTTTCACCTGCTCGCAACACCAGTGCTGCTTCGGTTTCTCAGACTCGTTCAGCCGTCGCAGGTGAAGCAGATGACAGGCAGAAGGGCACGCCCATAACGACCAGCAGCAGCAGCTCGGTTCCTTCCACAGCTGCTGCATCTGCCACGGCTGCTGCTGCAGCCTCTGCTGCTGCATCAGCGTCTGGTGCAGCTGCTGTAACTACTGAAGCTGAGGAGGACCGAAGGGCAGGCACCGGGAGTTGCCCGGTTCCCTGTGCTGCTGCAGCCTCTGCTGCTGCATCGTCAGCGTCTGGTGCATCATCAGCGTCTGGTGCATCGTCAGCGTCTGGTGCAGCTGCTACAGCACCGAAGCCGAGGAGGACCGAAGCCGAGGAGGACCGAAGGGGAGGCACCGGGAGTGGCTCGGTTCCCTGTGCTGCTGCAGCAGCCAGTGACTCTGGGGTTGGCCGCCAAGCGACCAGCATAGGGGATGCGGTGAGGGGGAGGGGGAGAGAGAGGGAGAAGGGCGGGGAGGGGGAGGGACAGGGCGAGGGAGCGAGAGGTGCGTGATATACTCAGAAACCATCACTGCTCAATGCTTGCTCTAGTTAATTGCTCTGGTTTTTTTTTTATTGTGCTCCCTTTTCTCCCTTCCCTCCCTCCCTCCATTGGTCTTGGTTTCGTTTGTTTTCATCATATACCAGTGATGCTGGAGTGCTTACACCACCACTCTTTTCCCTCCCCCCCGCCCTTTCCCCGCCGTTTGTGCCATTTGTTCAGATTCAACCAGATGCGCCGCCCGTTGACCCCCCAGGCACCCTAGTGGATCCCTCTCCACCGCATCACCACGAGCAAAAAGAGGGTACGATTCACAACCAGCAGCAACAAGAGGAGCAAGGCAAGCCAGGAGGTCTGCACAAGTGGCTTTCACTTGACATCGAAGACTCGACAAAAGCTAAACCACCTTAGGTGATGGTCGAGTCTTACCTAAAAAATAGTTTTTTTTTCTCAGGAAACTGCAGCGTGGTGCTGGTGATTGCACTACTCAGAGATCACATTCTAGGTGTTGTTACCAAATGCTATAATGAAAGGATTTGGTGCCCTCCTAAGGGCACCATCATACTGCCTTGCAGTCATTCAAAAGGATTGAAGAAATATAAAACTGCTCGATACGGAGGCATCAGTGTATCATACAGTACAATTGCTTGAATCTGTCTAGCCCCAACTGACGTATTGTACAGCTCACCACCTAATATCCTCACCCTCAAAATCATCATTCGCCGCGTTGTCGCACGAGCGTGACCAATCACCATGCACCGCCGCGAGCCTCACCAAACCAAACCTCAGCGCATTCATGTTTCGGGCTGCCCTACGTCAATTTGAACGCGTTCTTACGACGGTTGCCAAAACGCCATGAACCAGCCTACTTTGCCATCTTTCCCTTTAAAACCCGCGTCCCAAATTGCGGGCCGCGAGGGTCAAGTTTTTAAAACTTGACGAAGTTGAGTGTCCAAGCTTTTGAAAGTCACGCACTTGCAATTTGGGACTTTCGAAGACAGATTCACTCACCAGGGGGAAAACCGAGGGTTGGCTGGGTCTCGCGAAAAAAACGAACCTAGACGAAATCGGAAACTCTCGCCAAAGCCCACACCAGAAAAACTCCCTCTGGTCAACTTTTAAAAGCATGAACAATTTGGGCCGCCGGCTTTAAAGCCACTTCGATTCGATCCCTAACAAACCCAACCCAGTTTACATCATCCCATTTCATCCATATCAACCCCCGCCTTACCTTCCGCCAGACCATTTGCGGGCATGTCAGAGTTTCTCAGGTTCTGCCCGCCGCCACATCACACCAGCATGCAGGAAGCCCTTGGGAATTCCTCCTCTCTCGCATGTCTGTTCACGAGACACCACATTCTTCCTGACAACGTCTGTTTGTGGCTTGCATTGCGAGTTCTCTCTAACAAAGCACCCTTTTTCCCCTGAGAATCTCCTCCTGAATTTAGGATTTCTGCTGCTGCGGCTTGTTACCGCTCTGTGTCGTCCTTCCGCGAGTTTAGCTTACGAAGAAGAGTGCAGTTCATAAGACGCGCCTTTTGCACGCAAACTCGATGAATGGAATGACTTAATTAAGGAGGCCTATGATAGTGGAGGCATAGGTGGTAGGGGTAGCTAGAAAATCGTCGGTTGCGCCTATGCGTGTGCATCAATCGTTTCGTTTCGCTCAGCCATATCTTCACTCGGTGCTTTGTTCAGTTCCAAGCGTTCTCTATACGCTTGACCACGTCCCAAGGAATTTGTTTTAGTTACCTCACAAAAACATTGTTACAAGCGCTTTGCCTCGTCTCCCTTGTCGTAGTATTACTGCTGAAAGCGGCTCCTTTAACATCTTTCGGATTTTCAAGACGCAGGATAAACAAGGAAGAAAACTTTTAATTAGCTCGAAGAAGACTAGGAACAAGGCGGCTTCGTTGATTCGTTTTTCTGCGTTAAACGAATGCTGCTGTAGCGAGCGTCGACTCTATCCTGACAGGTAGTGGCATAGCGCTATCACTCTGTCGACGCAGCAGGATTGGCACGGGAACGGGCGGTGGCGGGAATGGAGAGTTGACCGTTAACATTGAGGTAACAGCGACCCTTTTTTGAGGCGCCACAAGGATTGGCACGGGAACGGGCGGTGGCGGGAGTGGAGAGTTGACCGTTAACTTTAAGGCTACAGCGACCCTGGTGGGGCTCGTGAACTTGAGAAGTAGATTTTGATACAAATTTGAGAAACGAGGTTCAAAAAGTCGAAGGTCGGGGAGTGATTTTTGAGAAGCGATTTCAGGGAACGAATTCCAGAGAGTGGATTTGAGCAGCGTTGGGGTGAGTGAGCTGAAGCTTAAGGGGGGAAAACGAAAATGGAGCGGGACGGGTCGACGGTGCGCGACGGCCTCGCCACCCCACCTGCCGGCCGGTTCACGCGGCGGTGAGCGGGCGGGAGAAGCGCGGGCCCGCCGCCATTCTACACGTGCGGGCACAGGGAGCTATGGCGGCGGGAGGAGGGGCGCCGTTCGCCGCTGGCGTATATGCGCGCTGGCGCGGGGAACGAGGTGAGCGTGCGCCTTGCGGTTGGGAATCCGAAAATTCCGTCTTTTTCTGCTACTGTCCTTCCCCTTGCTCGCCCCCACGTCTTCCCCGTAACGTCGTTTTCCCAGTCTTCGCCTACCGTCCTCCCCCTACAAGTTCCCCCCTCCCGCCCAACTCTCCTCCCCTTCACTAACCCGCGCTCTACTCGTCTCCCCACGCAACCCTTTTCTATTCCGCGTTCTCCGCTTAACTACCCCGTTCGCTCATCGTCTCCACTCCACTCCACTCCTGTGCTCTTCCTTCCTGTCCGGAAAAAAATAACAAAACAGAACAGAACAGAACAGAACAGAACAGAAACAACGAAACATCGAATCTTCCCCGTCCCTCTACCGCTTCTCCTGTTCCCACTGCTTCCCCTCTCGCTTCCCCTGTTCCCCCCGCTCTTCCCATTCCCGCTGTTCCCCCCGCCCGCTCCATCCCCCCTGGTCCCCCCGTCCCTCCAGCACCTAGTTTCCCGTCTGGAGCTAGCGGCGCGCCTGGAGGGGCATCACGGGTGCGTGAACACGGTGAGCTTCACGCCGTGCGGCGACCTGCTGCTGTCGGGGTCGGACGACTTCTGAAACGCCTCAAACGCTTTCCATGCAACCTCACTCCTTTCCCCTGTTCCCTCCCCTCTTCCCGTTTCCCCCCCTCTTCCCGTTCCCGTTGCCCTCCCCCCCCCCGCCCCATTCCCCTCGTTCCCCCAGCACCTAGTTTCCCGTTTGGAGCTAGCAGCGCGACTAGAGGGGCATCACGGGTGCGTGAACACGGTGAGCTTCACTCCGTGCGGCGACCTGCTGCTGTCAGGGTCGGACGACTTATGCACCCCTCTCCTTTCCCTCATTCCCTCCCCTCTTCCCGATCCCCCCGTCCCCCCTGTTCTTCCCGTTCCCGCTGCCCCCCCCCCCCCGCCCGCCCCATTTCCCTCGTTCCCCCAGCACCTAGTCTCCCGTCTGGAACTCGCATCACGCCTGGAGGGGCATCACGGGTGCGTGAACACGGTGAGCTTCACGCCGTGCGGCGACCTGCTGCTGTCGGGGTCGGACGACTGGAGCATCGTGCTGTGGGACTGGGCGCGCGCGCTGCAGCGCCTGCGCTGGCGCTCGGGGCACGAGAACAACGTGTTCCAGGCGCGCGCGCTGCCGCACACGGGGAACAGGACGGTTGTTTCCTGTGCTGCTGATGGCCAGGTGGGTGGGAAGGGTGCGTGGGTGGGTGGGCGGGCGGGTGAATGGGTGGGTGGGTGGGCTGACAAGTGGGTGGGCGAGTGGGGCCCAGGTGGGTGGGTTGGTTGTTGGGTGGGTAGGTGGGCAGGTGGGTGGTTGAATGGGTGGGTCCGTGGTGGTTGGATGGTGGGTGGGCGGGAGCTTTGGGGGAAGGGGAATTTGGAGCATGGGGAAGGGAAGGGAAGGGAAGGGAAGGGAAACGAAAGGGGCGGCGGGAGAAGGGGAACGTGTGGCTGCTACTTATTCTGAATCAGATCAGACGCCTACGTTTTAGTGCAGACAGACACGTACGTAGCGCTTTGCAAATCATCGCCTCAAAAGAAATAATCTCCGAAATTCGCCCCGCGCATCCTCCCGGTCCGGGGCCCCCCAATGCCCCCTCCCTCTCCCCCCGCCAGGTTCGCTGCAGCATTCTAGGAGAGGGCGGCAGTGTGGACACGAAGCGTCTGCCGCGGCACAGGGGGCGGGCGCACAAGCTGGCTGTGGACCATCCTCCCCACCTCCCTCCCCACTCCCTCCCTCCGCACTTCCCCCACCAGGTGCGGTGCAGCATCCTGAAAGAGGGCGGCAGTGTGGACACGAAGCGTCTGGCGCGGCACAGGGGGCGCGCGCACAAGCTGGCTGTGGACCCCACCACGCCGCACTGCTTCCTCAGCTGCGGGGAGGATGGCGTTGTGCGACACGTGCGTGAGAGTGGGGAGGGGGGAACAGGGCACGGTAATGGAGGGGGGAGGGGGGGTTGAGACGTCTGTGGGTGCTAAAGCGCACAAGCTGGCTGTGGGACCCCACCACACCGCACTGCTTCCTCAGCTGCGGGGAGGATGGCGTCGTGCGGCATGTACGTGAGGGGGAGAGAATAGGTGAGGGTAGGGAGGAAGGGAGGGGGGGGGGGGGGGGGGGGAGGGGGGGGGGTTAGAGGTCTGTGGGTGCTAGGGCGCACAAGCTGGCCGTGGACCCACCACGCCGCACTGCTTCCTCAGCTGCTTGGAGGACGGAGTCGTGAGACATGTACGTGCGAGCGGGGAGGGGGGAATAGGGTAGGGTATTGGGAGGGGGGGGGGGGGGGGTGGGACGTCTGTCGGTTCTAAGGAGCACAAGCTGGCTGTGGATCTTTTGAGTCGACTCAAAAGTCCCCTCATAGGGGGCGCGCGCACAAGCTGGCTGTGGACCCCACCACGCCGCACTGCTTCCTCAGCTGCGGGGAGGATGCAGTCGTGCGGCATGTACGTGCGGGGGAGGAAACAGAGGAGGGTGGAAGGGGTGGTGGACGGGGGGGGGATTGAGACGTCTGTCTGTGGGTGCTAAGGCGCACAAGCTGGCAGCTGACCCCACCCACCACGCCGCACTGCTTCCTCAGCTGCGGGGAGGATGGGGTTGTGCGACACGTGCGTGAGAGCGGGGAAGGGGGGACAGGGAAGAGGGTCCTGTGACGTGGCGTGGAGGAGGGTAAAGGTTTGTGCAGGGGGAGGGGAAGGGGAGGGTAGAGGACAGGAGCGGAGGGGAGGGGGTGAGAGGGGCGGGGGGGGGGGAGGGTGGAAAAAGGTGTGGCGGTATCAATGTGCTACAGATTGCGAATGCAACGATAGGATGGGATGTGAGTGGTGTATGTCTGGGGGATGTCTGGAGGTTTTCTGCTTCCCCCCTTCCCCTCCTACCCCTCCTACCCCTCCCTTTCTGTCCTATTTCCCCTTTCCCCTCCTCTCATTTCTCTCCCTTCCGCCCCCCTCTCTCCTCCCTTCGTCCACTCGTTTGCCCGTTTCCTCCCCTTCCCCACGCCCCATTCCTCATCCCCCTGCTGTCCCCGCCTCTCATCCCCCGCTCTCCCCAACCTCATCCCCTCTCTCCCCCCTTCGTCCACTTGCTTTCCCTTTCCCTCCCCTTCACCACACAACACCCCCCTGTTGTCCCCGCTTCTCACCCCCCCGCTGTCCCCACCCTCATCTCCCCCTCTCCTTCCTCCTCGTGCCATGGCAGTTCGACCTGCGTCAGGACCACCGCTCCACTTAGCTCCTCACGTGTCATCTCATGCGCTCTCTTCCTTCCTCTTCCCCTTCTCCAGTTCGACCTGCGTCAGGAAATCACTTTTCCAGTTCCTTCTCAAAAGTGACCTTCTCAAAAGTGACCTTCTCAAAAGTGACCTTCTCAAAAGTGACCTTCTCAAAAGTGACCTTCTCAAAAGTGACCTTCTCAAAAGTGACCTTCTCAAAAGTGACCTTCTCAAAAGTGACCTTCTCAAAAGTGACCTCATGTGCTCTCTTCCTTCCTCTTCCCCTTCTCCAGTTCGACCTGCGTCAGGACCGCCCCTCCACCAAGCTCCTCACGTGTCAGCTCATGCGCTCGCAGCGCGCCCTCGGGCTGAACGCCATTGTCGTCAACCCGCTGCGCCCACACCTCTTTGCCGTGGGTGGGGCAGACGAATTCGCCCGCCTGTATGACATCCGCAGGTGGGGAGGGGAGGGGAGAAGGGAGGCAGGGGGGGGATGGGGAGGCAGGGGGGGGATGGGAAGAGGGAGGGGGTATGGCCGTCGGGCTGAACGCCATTGTCGTCAACCCGCTGCGCCCGCACCTCTTTGCCGTGGGTGGGGCGGACGAATTCGCCCGCCTTTATGACATCCGCAGGTGGGGAGATGGGGAGGATAACGGGAGGCAGGGGGGGCTGGGGAAGCAGGGGGGGAGCGGGGAGGGGAGGGAAATTGGAGAGAGGGCGGGGGGAAGGGTGTGGGATTTGGGAAGAGGGAGGGGGTATGGTTGTCAGGCTGAACGCCATTGCCATGAGTTCCCTGCGCCCGTAACTTTTGAGCCGACTCAAAAGTCAACTGGGAACTCAAAAGTCAACTGGGAACTCAAAAGTCAACTGGGAACTCAAAAGTCAACTGGGTATGCTTCTCAGGCTGACTGAACGCCATTTTCATGGATTTGGGAGGAGGGCCCCCACAACTCTTTGCTGCGTCTGTAGGTGGAGAAGAGAGAGTGAACTGGGGAGTAATGTGGGGAGGAATGTGGGGAGTGGGGTGAGTGGTGGGGGACTGGGGCAGTGGAGTGTGTGGGGGGTATTCAGTGTGTTTTAGGGGGGGTGCATGCACCAACCCTTGCCCCCCGTGTCTTATTCCATGAGTTTGGTCTTCTCTTGTTCTTTTCTTCCCTTATTGATTGATCCACATCGCTCCTGCTTTCTCCGCTCCCTTTTCTTTCCTCCCCTTCCTTTCCTCCCCTTCTCCTCTCTTTCCCCTACCCTCCCTCCCATCCCTCCCCTCTCTACCCTCCCTCCCCTCTCTCCCCCTCCCAGCCTCCTTATAAAAGCCGCTCTCTTTCATTCCTCGAGTTTCCTCCATATTTCGTTTCTGCTTCCTCTCTGTTTTCCTTCATTCCCCTCCCTTAATACCCCGCTCTCCCCATCCCTTGCTCTCCCCGTCCGCTCCCCCACTCTCCCCCTCCCCTACCCCGCTCTCCCCACCCATCCCCTCCCCCACGGCAGGTTGATGCCTGTGGAAGCTTCCTCTCTGCCGCCCTCTGACCGCCCTCTGGACACCTTTGCACCGGACCATCTCATTCACAACACGCGCGACTACATCTCCCCCACGGTACTTGTCTCCCACGGTACGAGCAGTACTAGCTCTGAAATGCTTCTACTCACTCACCACTCACGGTTGAGATGAGACAAGGTGTTGCCCATCCCATCCCACCCACCCACCCTTGCATTGCTGCCCCTCCTCTCGCTCCACGTTTTCATCGGGCCACCTTATGACTTTCAGGAAGTTTTTGAGAATTCTCAAAAACTCCACGTTTGCATCAGGTCGGGCCACCTTATGACTTTTGAGTCGACTCAAAAGTCTCTCTCGCTCCACGTTTGCATCGGGTTGGGCCACCTTATTCCCAATACACGCGACTATTTCTCCCCCACAGTACGAAGAGTTGTGTGCATTGCTGCCCCTCCTCTCTCTCCACACATCTACACCAGACCACCACTTTCACTACACACACAATTAGGTCTTGCCCAAGATACAAATATTGGGATGACTCAGGACTTGAACATTCTGCGACATCTTGGGAACCAAGTATTTTAAATCGCCCCCTACCTACATACTTCCCCCTTTTGAGTCGACTCAAAAGTCACCAAGTATTCTAAATTGCCCCCTACCTACATCCTTTCCCCTCGCCTCGCCTCACCAGGTGCACATCACGTGTGTGGCCTTCTCAACGAGTGACGAGCTGCTAGCCTCGTACAACGATGAGCTCATCTACCTCTTCCTCCCCCTCCACGGCCTCGGCCCCTGCTCCCCTTCCCGTTCCTCTCTTCTTCTCAACCCAGGTGCACATTACCTGTGTGGCCTTCTCAACGAGCGACGAGCTGCTAGCCTCGTACAACGATGAGCTCATCTACCTCTTCCTCCCCCTCCACGGCCTCGGCTCCGACCCCCTCTCTGCCCCTGCTGCTGCTAGACGCAGGAACAGAGTGAAGGGGGTGGGAGGAGAAGGGGAGGGTGAAGGGGTGACAGGGAGTGGGAGGGCGAGGGGAGGGGGACGGGAGAGGGTGGGGAGAGGGAGGGGAGAGGGGAGGGTTGGTGGTGGGGAGAGGGGGAGTGGGGAAAAAGAGGGGGGTGAAGGGGAGGGTGGGCAGGGGCAGAGGAGGAGGAGGAGGCTGAGTGGAGGAGGAGGGAGAGGGGAGGAAGAGGGGGAGAGGGAAGAGGCGTGTGGTGGGTTGAATACTAGAAGGCGAGTTGGTACTGGTGGGAGTGAAGGGAGGGAAGGGGTTGAGAGAGGGCAGGAGGGGGGAGAGGGGGATAAGGGGGAAAGGGAGAGTGGTGATGTGGAGCGGGGGAGAGGAGGGGAGGAAAGAGGGAGGGGGGTGGATAGGGCAGCGCTTGGGGGAGAGGCACAGGTAGAGAAGGCAGAGGAAGAGAAGGAAGAGGAAGAGAAGGAAGAGGAAGAGAAGGAAGAGGAAGAGAAGGAAGAGGAAGAGAAGGCAGAGGAGGAGGAAAGAGTTGGCCTGCTCTCCACACACAGAAACGGGGTGGTAGCAAGAGGGGGCCGCGGGAGCAGCAGGGGAACACTGCGAGCATGCCGGAACAGAAACAGCAGTGCGGAAGAGCGAGGGGTAGAGGAGAAGGAGGAGGGGGAGGTAGAGGAGGGAGAGGTAGAGGAGGAGGACGAGGAGGAGGTGGAGGATTCGGATTTGGAAATGGGTGGAGAAGACGAGGAGGAGGAGGGGGGCGACGATGGGGACGAAGCAGGGGCAGGAGAAGGAGATGGAGCAGGGGCAGGAGGAGGAGGAGGGGAGCAGTTGGAGGGGATACAGGTGTATACAGGGCACCGGAACGAGCAGACGGTGAAGGGGGTGAACTTCTTTGGGTTGCGCAATGAGTACGTGGTCAGCGGATCGGACTGCGGGCACATCTACATCTGGCGCAAAGCGGGCGGCAAACTCGTCGCCATGCTGCCGGGCGATCGGCAGGTGAGAGGGGAGCACCAGGGGGGTGAGGGAGTGCGGGCGGGGCGGTGGGTGGGCGGGTGGTTGGGTTGGGAGGGTGGGTTTTCTCGCACCAGTTTCTCGCACACATTTCCCGCAATTCACCAACCACTCACCAACTATATCACCCACCCACCCCTCTGTCTAGGTTTCCAGGTGTTGAACTGTCTAGAGCCACAACCATCCCTCTGCGTGCTCGCCACCAGCGACATCAAAGCGGAATCGAAGTGACCGTTGAGTCGGCTAAAAAGACCCACCCACCCACCCACCCACCCACCTCTCTTCCCACCGACCCCTGGACCCTCCATACGCAGGTGGTGAACTGTCTAGAGCCACACCCGTCCCTGTGCGTCCTCGCCACCAGCGGCATCGAATCCAACGTCAAGATCTGGACGCCCACCGCCGCCCGCCCGAAGCCGCTGCCGCCCAACGCCGCCCAGATCATGGCCGGCAACAGCCGGCGGCGCGAGCAGCCGGGCGGCAGCCGAGGCGGGTTTCGTCTTATTGGGCCGGAGGATTTAGAGTTGCTGCAAATGCACCTTAGGGAGGAGCATGGGGATTTGCTGGGGAGAGATCGGCTTTTGACGATCCGAGATTTGCTTGCTCTGGCTGCTGTAAGTGCGAGGAGAGGGGGGAGGAGGAGGAGGCGGGGTGCGGGAGGTGAAGGGGAAGGGGAGGAGGGGGCGGGTGAGGTGACGGAGAGTGGGAGAGGAGGGAGAGGAGGAGGGGAAGGGGGAGGGAGGAGAGAGGGGGCGTCTGAGGAGGAGGGAAGTAGGCAGGGGGGAGGAGAGGATGAATTGGAGGAGGGGGAAGAGAGGGATGATGAGGAGGAAGAAGAGGAGGATGAGGAGGATGAGGATGAGGAGGAGGAGGATGATGGGGAGGGGGGGAGGGACATGAGAAATGAATGCTACGTTAGTTAGCTGATTCTCTACTGCCTCCCTCACGGTCAACCATGGTCAACCGTGGTCAACCATGGTCAACCGTGGTCAACCATGGTCAACCGTGGTCATTCAGTGCCGTGTGCCAGAACCCGAGGTTCAAGCTGAAGTGCCCCCTCGCTCCCTCCACTCTGACTGCCTGCTGTCCTGCCCTGTGACTCCCATCTCAACCCCATCTCAACCCCATCTCAACCCCATCTCAACCCCATCTCAACCCCATCTCAACCCCATCTCAACCCCATCTCAACCCCATCTCAACCCCATCTCAACCTCATCTCAACCCCATCTCAACCCCATCTCAACCCCAAACCTCCACTCCTTAAACCTGGACCTTTCTCCCCAACCTGAACCATGCACCCCACCCCACCCCACCCGCACCCATCCAGCCACACGTGTGCTGTGAGGTCGTTTTTGAGGCGCCTCAAAAAGCACCCCACCCGCACCCCACCCCACCCCACCCGCACCCCACCCCACCCCACCCCACCCGCACCCCACCCCACCCCACCCGCACCCGCACCCCACCCCACCCCACCCGCACCCGCACCCCACCCCACCCGCACCCGCACCCCACCCCACCCCACCCGCAACCATCCAGCCACACGTGTGCTGTGCTGTCACGTGCTCATGCCCATGCTCTTATTACCAATTCCTTCCTTCCCACGTGCTCCCCCATCCACCCCTCCCCCTCTCTCAACCTCGTTTCTGCTGACCTAGATTACTCCTGACTGGACTCATCAGAAGTTCCTTTCCAGCACTACCACCACCACCACCACCAACCCCCTCCTCTTGTCTCCACAGCTGTGCATGCGGAAGTGGAGTGGACACCAGTTAGATGCCATTGAGAAGACTTTTGAGTCGACTCAAAAGTCACCTCTTTCCACCACCACCACCACCACCACCACCACCACCACCACCACCACCACCACCACCACCACCACCACCACCACCACCACCACTACCGCCCTCTTGTCTCCACAGCTGTGCATCGTTCACCTCGCAATCAATACGCCTCGCCTGTTAGCTATCCGCCTCGCCCCACCGTTTCCCACTGTTCCCCACCGTTTCCCACTGTTTCACACTGTTCCGAACCGTGCCCCACCCCACCTTCCCCCATCTCAGCCCCACCTGCCTGTCTTGTGCCACCCACACCCTTGTCAAACCACCAGCTGTAACAAACCGCACCTCGTATCAGACCACCACTTTTGCGGTGTGTCTGTGAGTCTGTCTGCTCCGCCTTCCTTTTCGCTTGCACTTCACACCGCCTGCCTTGCCTTGCCTTGCCACCCCTGCTGCGACCTGTACATAGACCCAACCCAACCGTCATCTCAGTGCAATTCTCTGTACAGGGATAGCATGTGTTTTGCCACATGGCTGAGGATATCCGAGATGAAATGGTGTGGGAGAGTGACTGGTGCTGTTGACTCCCTTAGCTTGTTCTCCTCCTGTCTGACTCTGTCGCTCTGTTGTCTATTACGCCCTACTCTACTATTCCGAGGGACATGCTTGCACCTAAAGCCGTGCTATGCTGGGATCGTCGTGGGACAATTTTGAACTGCTTTGGTTTGGACCCATTCGACCCTGTTTTTAAGCATGTCAAGTGTTCAGTTTGTAACACTTTTATCGGAGCCGCTTATTCAATCAATACTGCAGAGGTGTGAGGCTAGAGGCAAGCATGCAGCTTTCAGCAACCCATTGTAGTGCTTCATGTAGAAACTCGCAAAGTTGTTACGGTACAAAAAAAGCCTCAACAGTTGGCCTGGTTCTCCCTCGCACTATCACCATTGGCTGAGCCCAAACTCATTAGCATAGCATAGCACAGCAACACACAATCAATCAACACAAGGGCACAAAGAGAACAATGCATCCCAATGCTAAGTAAGCAGCAGCACAGTTACTGTACCTACCTATCAAAGCATCCACTTAACCCAGAGCAACAACCACTCTACACTCACCAGAGCACACAATTGCACCATAAAAGCTTTGTCCATCATCCAAACACGCACATGCACACCTAGTTCCCCCACACCAGGAAATCCATAGTTTGATCTATATCAGTAGTTATCAAGTTACCACGTTAACCCCCCCTCCCCAACTTCCCTCTCTTCTTGCACTTACCATGTCCTCTCGGCCCCCTCTCCTCTCTTCCTTCTCACCCTCCCATCGCCCAACCTCTCATACCACACCTTTGTCATATCACAGTCCAGGCCTCCTCCCTGCCTATTCCTTCATCACAGCATTGCAACCTCTCTCCTGTCCGCACCACCCCTACATCCCACCATCCGCACCTTCACTCTCTCTCACTCTCTGTCGCTTTCACAGCTCCCAGCACGTCCGGAGCATGTAAGCAGTGTGCAGGCCACTCTCAGGCCCATGCGCCACCACCATCCCCCCCGGCTGCAGCACCGCCTTCTGAGACATCTCCTTTGCGAGGCACCTCACAGCTCCCAGCACGTCCGGAGCATGTAGGCAGTGACTTTTGAGGCGCCTCAAAAGTCACCTCAGAGCTCCCAGCACGTCCGGAGCATGTAGGCAGTGTGCAGGCCACTCTCTGGCCCATGCGCCACCACCACCCCCGGCTGCAGCACCACTCCCCGCGCACACGGCACTTGCACATACACCTCTCCTTGCACCAAACCCAGCGCCCCTGCTCCATCTTCGTTCTCCATCCCCCCTGAGAACACATCCGGTTGGGATGACCCCACACATGCCCCTACCATTGCTCTCTCCCACCATTGCCCCTGCTTCTTCCTGCTCCTGCTCCTGCCGCCGCCGCTGCCGCCGCCGCCGCCGCCGTTGCTGTTGCTGTTGTTGCTGCCGCTGCCCAACCCCACACTCCCTTCCCCACTTTGCCCTCCCATCCCCTCTCCAACCCCATCCCCGAGCCCACCCCCCTCCTCTCCCCCGTCCCCCTCCCGCCACGGTCGGTACGCCAGCGAAACCGACCACTGCAGCCGTCGCTTTGCCTCCTCATCCAAACAATCCCCATTCTCTGCCTGTGCCCACGCCGCGACGGTAGTAGACTTACCTATCTGAATCGCCCCTGCCACTGCCACTGATTGTACCGCTGTCCCCGGCTCGTCCTGAGGGGGTAGCCAAAGCTCCTGCCCCGCTCCTCCTCCCCCTTCCCCCTCCTCTCCCTCGTCTCCTCCCCTCCCTCGCCCCCTTCCCCCCACCCCGCCAACCCCACTGCCAAAACTAGCCTCTGAGCTCCCATCCCCCCCTGCGCTTCCCTCTCTCCCCCCCCACCCAAACGGGTTAACCCTAGGCAGAACCAACGGACCCATCTCACTCCAATGAAGTCCATTAGATGCCAGGAGAGGGGGGGCAGGCCACACTCTATTCAACGCAGAAAACGCCAAAACGACGTTCTCCTGCGGCTGGAGTGACAGCTGCGCGAGAGAGGAGACGCAGAGGCCGGGGGAGGTGCCATCTGGGTCGGGCGTTACCCCCCAGCCGGAGAGGAAGTGCGCGAGGGAGAAGGAGGAGGAGGCGGAGCGGAGGGTGAGCGCGAGGGCGGAGCCCCGCGCGCGACGGTGCAGAGGCAGGCCTCCAGAAGAGAACCGGGTCAGGCCTTGGTCCTGAGAAGGGGGCGGGGGGCGAGGGAGGGGGAGGGGGGAGGGGGAGGGGGGAAGGACTTTGAGTTGTTCCAGACGTTTATTTGAAGGCAAGTCTCCGGATCCGGTTACCCCCGCGCGCGGCGGTGCAGTGGCAGGCCTCCGGAAGAGAAGCGCGTCAGGCCTTGATCCTGGGAGGGGGGGGAAGAGGACGGGGGCGATGGGAAAGGCAAGGAAAGACCGCGGGGAGGAGCGGTGAGTGAGCGCGAGGGCGGAGCCTTGTGCGCAACGGTGCAGGAGGAAGCCTCCGGAAGAGAAGCGCGTCAGGCCTTGATCCTGGGGTTGGGGACGGTGGGGAGGGGAGAAGGGGGAGGGAGGAGGGGTGAAGGGGAGAGGTGAGTGTGGAAGATCTTTGCTACATCCGATCACACAGCTCCCAGCACCGCTACAGCCAGCCACGACACCTTCTTTAAAGGGCTGGAAAAAACGATTGTAGGCGTTTTCAGTATCACGCACCTTGAGAGGGTTGATCGGCTCTGCTACATCCGACCCCACGGCTCCCAGTGGCGCTACAGCCAGATGCACGCCGTCCCAGAGAGCCGCACTGTAGAGCACCTTGTGCAGGTTCACAGGGCCGCCTAGCATGAAGCTGCTGCTCTCCTCGCCTAGGCCAGACGTTAACTCCGTCACTAGTAAGTCCTCTGGTTCTCTCCTCTTCCCTTGCGCGGACCCCCCTGAAGACCCAGCACCACCGCTTTTCCCGCTGCTGCCACTGCCGCCGCCGCTGCTGCTGCTGCTGCTGCCGCTTCCGGTGCCACTGCCACCGCTGCCACCGCTGTTACCGGTGTTACTGCTGTTACCACCACTACCCCAGCGCCTGCAGAGCGTGTCTAGGCGCAGTTTCACAGTAAGCCCTGACCGCATGCCCGCCTGCTCTAGACCTGCGCGCGCGGAATGGCTGCGCTCCCCCTCCGCAGGCACGAACGCGGAACCCGCCGCCACCTCCCCGTACATCCGCGTGCGGCTTCCCCCCAGCAGCCCAAACCCGAAACCCCCGCCCAGGTCCATCCCCGCGCCCCCCGCGCCTCCCGCGCTCCCCGCGCTTCCCCCGAACCCCGCGCTTCCAGCGCCGGAGGCGGAGGGAGGCGACGCGGGGAAGGCGGTGGCAGCGCCGAAGGGCTGCAGGCGACGAATCCCAGTATAGTACTCTAGTTTGTGCAAACGGTCTTTAACTCTTAGTAGGTCCTGGAAGGCCTCGCGCTGCAGGCGACGGAGCGCGCTCACCTGGATCGGGGGCACGGTGGGGGAAGTATGGTGGGGATGGTTGTTGTGAGTGTGGATTCTAGTTTTGAGGCGCCTCAAAACTAGATAGGGAGCATGGTGGGGGAAGTATGGTGGGAATGGTTGTTGTGAGTGTGGATTACCATTGTCAATCTCTGGTGGCGGTGCCTTGACAATGGCCATTATCGTATCGTATCGTACCTCCGAGCGGTGCGCGAAGCCGTCTTCCGCGGCCCGCTTATCCAGCATCTGCACCACCAGCTCCGCCGTTTCCGCCATCAGCGCCTGCCGCTCCGCGCGGTCCATGCGCTCCAGGCGCGTCGCCGTCATTCCGCGCACCAGCCCCGCCAGCCAGTCCATCATGCCTTCCGCGCGCTTGTCTTCCGCCCTCCGCCGCCCGCTGCTGTTCCACGAGGCGCTTCGCGGAGTGCCCGTTCCCGCGCCTATTCCCCCCGCGCCAACCGCCCCCGCGCCAGGGGCAGCGGCGGAGGTAAGAGACGCGAGTAACAAGTCACCCATATACTCGTAAGTCGCGTCCGCTCGGGGAGTGTTGCGCTTCCCCCTGCCTTTCCCCTTCCGCAATCGACCCCCCACTTCCCCGCCCCTCTTCCCTGCATCCCTCTCCCTTCTAATCGTCTCCAATAATTCCGTATCGCTGGCCCTGGCGCTTCCAGAAGGCAGATTTTTAGGCGCCTCAGCAATGAACTTTTCCGAGGATGCTTTATGGTTTGTCCTGGCGCTTCCAGAAGCCACATTACCAGCCCCCCCCTCCTCCTCCTCCTCTTCCCCTTCCTTCAACTCCTCCGTATCTGCACGCGATCCGATCTCCGAATCAGCGAAATTGTTGCCCCCGCTTCCGCCCTCGCCCCCTTCTCCCCCGTTTCCCCCTCCGTCTCCTCCCCCTCCGCCCTCCCCACCCCCTCCGCCCACTCCCCCGCCTCCACCATTTTCCGCCACCTTATCCATTTTTCCGATCTCTTTGGTCGTGAACGCCTGAGCGGAAGCATCCCCAGCGAACCACGCCGCGGAAGCCGCTGCGACACTGAGGATCGCCGCACGATCGGCAATTGCGGAAATCGCGCCAGTATCCGCGCATCCCCCCCGGTTGTCGCAGCACGCAACAACAGGCCCGTTAGTCGTATTACCCCGATCACCACGCAGATCGAATCCATGCTGATTGCAGATTCCAGATTGCGGATCGGCTTGCAGGATCGGATCAGGTAAAGGTGTCGACTGTTGGAGAGCCCTTAGAGAGCCGTTTCTGTGCCGCAAAACGCGTTGCCAGATAGATGGCGGTTCGATGGAAGAGGATTTTGACAATAACGACACGGCGCGTAACGACCGAGAAGGTGAGGACGATGCGGGATATCGCCGTCTCCTGCTTGATCCATATCTGCCTCCATGCCAGCCCATCGAGCCCTTTTGCACAGCAGTCGCGGAAATCGCGGTGCGAATGACAGCGGGAGAGGCGGCGGGGAAGGCGGGCGAACGTGAGCTGGCTGGTTGGAGGTTGCAATCATCGAGGGCGCTGCGAGAGGCAACGGATGATTCGGAAGGTGCGCGGAGCGGCGCGCCGAGACGCGATAGTGTGGCAGCCATGGGAAACGAGACAGCCGATTCGACCTGGCAATTACTGAAGTGAATTTCGCGAAATCGAAGAGGTGATTTTGCCTGACTTCAGTACGCCAGACCCACTTGCGATCATCTAAATGGAATCCTAACGGAAACTATGGTTAGTCAGGGACATCACTCAAACAGGCGCGCTGTCCCCCGCATACATGCGCACAACTAGACACTCAAAGAGTGATCTACTCACACTCCACATGCACTCGATCTCCTAAATCAGCCCGATTTCGCTGTGTGAAGCGGGCGCCTGGTCTGGTGAGTGTGAAGTTCACAGGAGGGGGGGAAGAAGGCGAAGAAGAGGGGGCGGAGCTGCGTCAGTGTGTCGTCATTTGGGGGAACCAGTGATGGATGCATGGGGAGGTTGTGGTTGGATGATTCGAGATTTTGAATCGCCAAACCACAACCAGGTTTGGAACAATAAGGACTTCCCGCCAAAACGCAGAACCAGCACTACCTCGAAACACCAGCGTAGCTAAAACAAGAAATAACTTTGAAGCATATAAAACCGCTTAATAGGAATAAATAACACTAACTGAATTGTCTAGAATGGATCTATTAAAGTGTTAGAGAAAATATTTTATTATTTTCTATTATGTGAATAAATGCAATTGAAAATGCATGGAAATGATTTATAGGATGCGAAATACATCACCTCGTTTTTTATATAAACTAGCAAATTCTGTTTTGTGATAGGTTTTCAATCTTCTCGATTAACTCAGCAACGCAACATTCATAAACTCCTCACGATAGAGCGCAAACCTGGCTTCGCTAACCAATCCACGACCCACAGAGCCGCGTGAATTGAGAAGCCCTCCACTAATAAACGGACGTCTTCCAGACCCGTTCCACACAACCAAGGACGTGACGTCTCCACAATCTGAACACCGGAGGGATATTTCTGTGAAACATTTTCGTTTTTGCAGAGAAACGAACCCTCACGTTGCAATGAACGAGCGTATACCACAGAAAGGATCGAATGTCCGAGACGTGGACGGGTGTTCCCATTTCAATGCAAGCGTTTATGTAAGCGTCCGATTCCGGCGTAATGGGAACCCAGAGGACCTCCAAGAAATTGTTCAGCCCCGAACAAGACCTGTGAGTTTTTCCGCCTAGCTCCAAAGGAGTCCTAGAAATTGATCGTGCCTGTCGTGTAGCGCTTGGAAACAGGTGCGCCTCGTCCCCTTGATTGCGTTGCGACCCGCATCTCGAAGAACAGTGCAAATAGCGTGCGCTGTAGTCAATCGCGACTCAGCATCGCGCGGTGCGGTCTGTCAAGTCTTGGTCTATCGCACGCACCTCCTTTCCCCATTGTCTTCTCGTTTGATCTCAAGACTCGCTCGACTCGACAACCAACCATACGAATTGTGGAATCGGGGGCATGTGCTGACACGCGCCACTCACCTCCAGCCCCGTGGTAGCCGTACATTCCGCCACGAGGGACCCTGCTCACCTTTCCTCTCCTTAGTTTGTCGTACCGCGAGATTGCGACCACCTCACGCAAAGCAGCTCCCCATTTACCATGGCTGCTCGAGTCAACAGTATTTCTGAACTTTAGTGAATCCGTCACTACTCGGAGCGCATGTCGGTACTCGGCACCCATAATCCCTTTCGCAGCGCTGGTGCCGATCCAAGCCCCTACAGAGCTTTAGCCCAGGGGCACTGACCTCGCGCTCTATTTCGGTCATCACCGAGTCGCTGCACACTTCAGACAGCGGAAATCTCTCTCCTCCCACGCGTTCCGAGTCCTGACTCGAGGGGCTCCATGGCACGCCAGTCCCTGTGCGCCTCACGCAAAAATCTGCAGTAAAAACCAAGTATGAACCTCACATGCAACACCCACTACGTCTCATCTTACTCTCTAGCTCCACTCATTGGAAAGGAGAAGCACTCGTAGGAACGACCGTACTTTCACTTGAGGAGACACTCGACTTCTCGTCACTAAAGCAGGAGCTCGAACCATGGGTCGGCCCCACCTCTTCTATCTCCTGCTGCTGCTTCTCGTGCTCCATCTAGCATGGCAGCAAGTGGCAGACGCCGGGTCTTACCCTATCAGTGGCGCCGCCTGCAATTACGCCAAGGGCAGGTCAGCGCAGCATTTCTCTCACTGAACGATTACTAGGGCAATACCAGTTCGACGTGTAAAGGCCTTTCTTGCCACCTCATGGAGGGTCAGCGTTTTTCTGGACTTTCTGTATCAGGAAGAAGTAGGACAAGACAGAGGAACCGCGATCTCCTCTTTTGAAACCCAAACTTGAACGTAGCAAGCGTTTTCTGACGACGTGCCGTAGGTTCCCCTCCCCGATCCCCAACTGCGTGCTCTCGTTCCGCAGGTGGATCCGGTCGCCGCAGACCAAGCCACGTATTCCGCGTACAGCCGAAGACAGAGGAGCATCCTCCTCTTCTGACACCCGTTGTTAATCGTAACGCTTTTTTTATATCCCCTCTCCGCCCAAAACCCGTGCTCTCGCTCCCCCAGGTGGATTCGGTCGCCGCACACCAAGCCCTCGTATTCCGCGTACAGCTGCAAGACCATTCGGTCGCAGGCCAACTGCTATAAGAACGGCCGCCGCGACTACAACTACCTCAACTGGCGCTGGCAGCCCGACGAATGCACTCTGCAGAGGTGACGCTCGCCTCGCACTTGAAAACTCACCGCATGCGACTCGGCTCACACGAGTTTGCACCATTTATCAGTTACAACGGGTGCACCAGTCACTACCGTCGAGCATGGCTTAGAGGTCGTGTGCCTTATAGCGGCCGCGCTACGCTATGTCCGTACGCTACGAACGCACGATAGCTGAGGTGGTTTCTGAGCCGCCTCAAAAATCGCTGTGGCCGTACGCTACGAATGCGCGAAAGCTCACAGAGCATGACTGAGGATATCCTGCCCACCTACAAATTGTTCCCTCGCTTCATGATCTTCCGTCTTGCGCGCTTGTCTCTTCGTTCATGTCTTCGCTACGCCTCCTTCTCATGGCGTCCCTGCTGCTGCTGCTGCTACTGCTACTGCTGCTGTTACAGGTTCGACTCGGGCAAGTTCCTGAGCAAGTACCGCAACAAGGTGATCGGAATCGCGGGCGACTCGTTCTCGGCCAACTTCGAGGACTCGCTGCAGTGCATTCTCTCCTCCAACTCCTCCACCTCGGTGCGCCACCCGAGGAGAACCTTGAGTGGACCAAAAAAAAAAATGGAGTCCCAGTCGCTTTGAGATGATTCTCTTCTCGGCCAACGTCGAGAACTTTGAGTGGACTAAAACATGAGTCATCTCGAAGCGAGTTGTGCTCCATGCAACTTGGAGGTCTCGCTGCAGTGCATCCTCCCCCCCAACACCTCCACCTCGCTGCGTCGCCCGCGCAGAGCCGAGCCGCCTAGCCCGCGCACAACTGCATCTCTTGCGCAGAACCGGAGCGCTTGTAGAACCGCGCGGAACCGATTTGAAGGCGTGATGAGTCGCGGCGGTTCGACGTGTATCTACGGCAACGGTTCCTTCCCTCGCCCGTCCACTCAACCTCCTCATACCCGGTCGTCGGTGCATACGTCGTCGTATGATCATAAATGTCCGCTCTTCATAAGTCGGAAATGCCCTCTTGCTCTCCTCATCCGTTCTTTCCTTTTCCGCCACCCCGACTCCCCGCGTCCTACGCAGCGCATGACGTCGAGCCTGGACACGGAGGACGTTAGCGGGTTCATTATTGACGCGTACAACGTCACGGTGCTGCACATCGCCGCGGCGTTCCTTGTCGACGCGTCCCCGGTTGTACGTTCCACACACACCCACAATCGCCAGCCACTTACTCTCTGCTGGACGTCGATTCTCATCATCGAGGCGCCTCTCTATTAACATTAGCACAGTGGATTGGGTGCTTCGTTGCAGCTTTCCCAGCCCCGCGTCCCTGTTTCTTCCCTTGCTGCGTTCCCCTCCCGGTACTCAAACACATTTCTTTTCTTTTCTCTTCGTCTCTCAAGTAACAGTTTCTTTCGCCCTGTTTCGCCAACCCAGGGCAAGGCGTCCAGCAGCGGCGTGTGGAATATCAATCTCGACAAGCCGCATAGCAGCTGGGCGAAACTCCTCGATGACATCGACGTCTTTATCTTCAACGCCGGTCACTGGTTCGTCAATGTAAGCGCACCCAGTCTCTCAGTTTCCAGACTTTCTTTTGAGGCTCCTCAAAATCTGGGCGAAGATTCTGGCAAAAGCGCACCCACGTTTCCAGTCCTCCACACCCACACGCTCTCGTACTCGGTATGGCCGGTCTCTTTTGAACCCCCTCCTGTCTCAACTCAGTTCCATCCCTTTCCCCTTCCCCTTCCCCTTCCCCATCTCCGCGCGCCCCGCAGGCGCCGGACAGCCTCCGCCAGTTCTACATCGGCGGGGTGAAGCAGAGCGGACTAACCGGCTTCGCAGCCATGAAAATCGCGCTCACAACGGTACGCAATACGATCGTCAAATCCAACTTCCGTGGAACCCCCGTGCTGCTCACCTTCTCGCCGTTCCACTACAGCGACTCTTTCGATACGGGGAAGGACTGCGCGGGGTGGTGGCGGCCGATGACTCAGGAGGAATTTCAGGTGGCGTTGGAAAAGAGCGAGGCGGCGGAAGCGGTCAAGGAGCAGCTCGCGGTGTTCACCAACAGCGGCGGAAGCGGCGTGACGGCGGTTGGTGGCAAGGGCGCGAAGGGGAGCGGAAGCGGTAGCGGAGGCGGAAGCGGAAGCAAAAGCGGAAGCGGAAACGGAAGCAAAAGCGGAAGTGGAAGCGGAAGCGGAAAGAAGGTGACCTCGAAGAGTGCGGCGGAGGGGCGGAATGTGATGGAGATGGGGGATGAGGGTATGGGGGAAGAAGCGGAGGCGGAGAGGGGAGGGGATGAGGTGGCGGGTGGGGAGGTGGAGGCCGAGGAGGCGGAGAGGAGAATCCTTTGGGGCCACCACGACCATAAGAAAAAAGATTCCAAAAAGGATTCTAAAGTTTCCAAGGACTCTAAAAGCTCCTCCTCCAGCAAGGATTCCTCCTCCTCGAGTTCTTCCAAGGACAAAAAGACTTCCTCGTCCTCCAAGAGCGATTCCTCCTCAAGTTCTTCTTCCAAGGACTCGTCGTCTTCCTCGTCCTCTAAAAGCTCCGACTCTTCCTCCAAGACCTCTGGGTCGGGCAGTGACAGCAAGAAAGTTGTCCAGAGCTCTGACTCTAAGAGCTCCAGTTCTAAGAGCTCTGGCTCTAAGAGCTCTGATTATGGCTCGAAGTCTTCCTCTTCGAGTAAATCTGGGTCGAACAGCGACAGCAAGAAATCCGCTCAGAGCTCCGACTCCTCCAAAAGCTCCGACTCGAAAAGTTCCTCCTCTACAAGCAAGTCTGGTTCGGGCAGTGACAGCAAAAAGTCTTCTTCCCAGAGCTCGAGCTCCTCCGACTCGAAATCTTCTTCAGATTCTTCTAAGTCGAAATCCTCGTCAAAGAGTACTGCGATGGAGAAGAAGCCAGGAGCTGTGGCTCAGTCTTTCGGTACCAGCTATACCCAATTCGGTAATGTGAAATTCAGCATCCTCGATATAACGCTCCTCAGTCTCATTCGCCCCGACGCGCACATTCAGACGTTCGGCGGAGAGGGGTCGAAGGTGGATTGCTCCCATTGGTGCACGCCTGGCCTTCCTGATACATGGTCTGATATCCTGTATTCCATGCTTATGAACTAGCCAAGATACGGTAGGTTTCACGTACGGTTTAGGGCGCCATGCATTCTAGTGCAGAAAAGTATATTCACCATAGTTCTTGTAGCATGCTGGTATTATGTATGTTCTGATTGTTTGGTACCATATTTTGTGTTTGATAAATTCTTTAAACCTTGGAGAAAAGACTTGGTTTTCTGAATATTCATTTCTTAGCTTTCTAAAATCATGAAGTTGGTACTTGCATGCCCAATGCCCTGCTTCCTTTTTATTCCTCGAGTGCCAAATCTGATGGCAGTCCTCACCACAGAATCTCTTAGCTACATGCATGTTGAATGGTGAGATGGTTGCAACATTCACCAACCCTGATCGTGCTTGCACTCAGGTTCAGCCTCCATGCCAAGCCTTTGTGAGGCCCTGCTGCACCTCAGGATGAAACTGTGCCTCGTTTGAACAGACAAATGTAAAGATGGCCCTGCCCTGCTAGTAAATACTCATCTGTGGTGAACTGGCAGAACTGGAGTTTCGCAGGTGGTGGGTCAACCTTCTACAGAACTGAAGAATCAATTCCCAGTACAGTGACTTCTACAATCTAGAGGCGCCTAAAGAAAGCAAATAGCATCCCATATTACAAGCAGAAGTTCCCTGTGACGAAGAATACAGTACCGGTAACAGCAAAAAGAGCGAAGACAGCAGGCAGTGAGCAAGGGCCGGTATGGAAGTGGAAAACCGAAGGCACTGACACAAAGAACATGCAGTGGTGTGCGCGGGGCATGGCGCGAGCGACGGCTTGTCCTGACGCAGCGGGTACACAATCAGCACGCGCAATCAGCACCCGCAGCTGCCACTGGGGTCGGAGACGGGGTTGGACTCTGCTTGCAAGTTGCGCAGCACTTTGGTGGTGTGCGTGTTGTGCGCCACCAGCGAGGGCGTCTCTATGATCTGCTCCAAGAGGAAAGTACAGCGCAAGTGGGGGGTGGAAACGGGGTGAGGGAAAGGAAGGGTGTGTCTTGAGATGTCTCAAAGCCCGGTGCGTGTGTTGTGCTCTGTTGTGCTCCACAAGCGAGGGCGTCTCTATGATCTGCTCCAAGGTATAAAAGGGAAGTGGGGGAAGGGGGCGTTGTGAAGGAAGTGGGGGGTAAGGAGAATGGGGTGGGGTGGCCGACAGATACAAGAGGTTTTGGGGGGAGAGGGGGCGGGAACGGAGCAGATACACAGCACAATCCACAGCACTGCTTAAAAAAAAGGCAAAGGGTCGATGGCAGGACAAATAAACGGTAACCATCCAGACTGGGTACCTTAGGCTCTGTGCTATTCATCTTCTGCACAGTTCACCTGACCTGCTGTAAGGCTCTTACCTGAATGCACAGCTCACCTTCTGTACTAGTTCGGAGAAGCACTGTTGCACGTTGAGACGTGTCTTGGCAGAGCACTCGAGGAAGAGCGAGCCGTACTGCCGTGCAAACGCTATGCCCTCCTCCTTCGCCACTTGCCGCTCCGACTCCTGCCATGCGCGCGCGCGAGAGAGAGAGAGAGAGAGAGAGAGAGAGAGAGAGAGAGAGAGAGAGAGAGAGAGAGACAGAGAGAGAGAGAGAGAGAGAGAGAGAGAGGGGGAGGGAGGGAGGGAGGGAGGGAGGGAGGGAGGGAGGGAGGGAGGGAGGGAGGGAGGGAGGGAGGGAGGGAGGGAGGGAGGGAGGGAGAGAGAGAGAGAGAGAGAGAGAGAGAGAGAGAGAGAGAGAGAGAGAGAGAGAGAGAGAGAGAGAGAGAGAGAGGATGGTGCATGCGCAGGGACGAGTGGGGCGGCCGAGATGGCAAGGGAGGAGAGGGACACGGGGCAGGAGGATGAGGAAAGGTGGGGTGGGGTGGGGGGAGAAGAGGGGGAGGAGTGGGGAGAGGGAGGAGGAGGGAGAGGGGAGGGAGAAGGAGTGTGGTAGGGTGGGGAGCACGGGAGAGGAGCAGAGCTTGGGAGAGATTAGGACTTGCACGTAAGCTATGGGTATCAACATCGTGCGCATGCCAGGCAGGCATGCATGCAAGCACGATGGTGGTCACGAGTGCGCCAGCCAGCACAAGAACAAACACACTGGGACACGAGGCGGTAGGAGCGCAGAATGCACTTGCAAGACTAAATGCAGGGCATGCGCGCGAGGTGTGCGAGGAAAGGGGGAGGAGGAAGGGGGAAAGGTGAGGAGGGAGTGGGGAGGGCGGGGTGGGGTGGGGTGGAAGGGGAAAGCGGGAGGGGGCGGGGGGGATGGGAGGAGGCGGAAGGTGGGTGGGAGGAAAGGGGAAGGAAGGGGGACGAGGAGCATGCACAGTTCAGTGAGGAGGTAAAATACCTTATCGACCTTGTTGCCGACCAGCATGAGGACGCAGTCCGAGACGGTGGAGTACATGTCGATCTCCTTGAGCCACACGTCCGACAGATTCGTGAACGTGTCTCGCCGCGTCACGTCGTACACTGCACGGACAGCAACAGGGACGGGCAGGGAGAGGCATGCCGCGAAGACGAGTGCATGCGGGGGGGAATGCACACGATGAGCTAAGGGGACCGAAGAAGGGCGAGGGAGGGAAAAGGTGGCGTCAGGAGGAAAGGAGAGGCGGAGGTAGGGGATGGCTGGAAAAAGGGAAGTGGCGAAAAAGCAGTGCGTCCATGCGACAGCAGTAGAACGCAATCATAAAAACGCGATCAGATATGCCCTATCCTACAATTGCAGGAGTGCAACTAAGCCTATCGTCCTCATCACAATGCCACTATCACTGCCGTCCGCAATTTCACCACACTCCGAGTCCTTCATTTGCCTGCACAACACATTCGCCTGCGCCGTTGGTGCTCACCAGTTGCATAAATTGCCACGCAACAACAAATAGTGCAATAACCTGCCCTAAAAAAACTCACCCAGGATAATTCCCTGGGCTCCACGGTAATACGAGCTTGTGAGCGTACGGAATCGCTCCTGACCGGCTGATGGCAAATGGGTGGAGATAATAAGGGAGGGTGAGGGAAAGTTTGAAAAAAGAACAAAGACAGCAGAGTGAGCATAAGATGAGTTAGTTCGCATACGTGCAGGTGTGTAACGTCAGATGCAAAAGAATAGGAACCAATGGTGGAGTAAGGTGGCACAACCAACAGGTAAATTGGCCATCCTCGTCGTGTCTCGCTATTCACCTGTGTCCCATATTGTTAGCTTGATCCGCTTGCCGTTGACGGTCACTGATTTAAGTTTGAAGTCCACACCTGAAAACGGGAGCACGGCAAGAAATTAAAGAAGAGGAAATTTTCCGTCATGAAGTACGGAACAGGCTGGGCGACGACCAGGGAGGTGCATCTGACGACATTGGAGCCACGGCATTCATACAAAAAAAAAGGCATGAAAGCCCATCTGCTGGTGACATTGTGGTCTTGCTACGGTTGACATCAAGTGACGGCTAAAATTGGAAAAGTCGACAGGGTCAAGTGTACATGAGAAGCTGTTACTGGCGCTGAAACGAACAGCCGACGATACTCTGTCCAACAATGTCCCGGAAAAAAAATATTGCGGAACAGTCTAGACAAATCGAAACCACTCTTCAGATCGTAGCGACATTATGAGTATGATAGGGTAGGCGCCTGTATGTAGCAATCGACTTCAGATTTAGGAGCGGTTAGGTGACAAATGGCACGCACCGATGGTCGGCGAAAGATCGTCGAACGTGTCGGTGGTAAATCTTAGAAGCAAGCAACTCTTGCCTACGCCTGAATCACCGACAAGCAGCAGCTTAAACAGGTGATCATGCTCGCTGTGTGGCGGGGGTCCCACGCTACCGTCCGTCGCCATGCGTACTACTACGTACAACACAACCCGAACCTGCTGTTCTTATGTGTTTATTTTTTACGTGCGGTGAACCGTCGAGAGGTGGTCCGCGGAAACTGGAGATTGCTTGCAGCGAAGGTGTACTAGGCTCCTAGGAAAGACCTAGACTCTAGTAGGAAAATTACTTCAGTAAAATGTAGTGTGATGGATCAGGAGGAACAAATGTGTGTTTCCAGGCGCAGGGAGGGCAAGGGAGGCGAGGTGAAGGTGAAGGGGAAGAAAGGGAGGGGGAAGGGAATAGTAAGTGGGCGGAGTGCGGGTGGGGCAAAGGGGCAGTATGTGTGCGCAGTGTAGGTTGAGGTGATGGGCGGGAAGGTGCACTGTGAGCGGGAGTTGGGTGCGCAGGGTGACTGTGCGGGGAGATGGGCGGTGCTGTGGTGAGGGAAAGGTGGGGTGGATGGGGGGGAGTAGGCTTCAAATGCTAGTAGCGGAGCCGAAAGGAACCTCAAATGCAGTGGTCGTGCCAAAATAAAAGGGAGGTGTAACGAAAGACGTGACTATAATCGTTTATGCTTTTTGCCGTTTTATATTTTTGGGTGAATTTTATTTTCGAGCGTTTTGAAGGCATGAAGAGTTTAGCGAAGGAGTGGACACACTTGTAGCGAGTCACGGCCTGGTTCATTCCAGAAGAAAAACCTTACGGACCGTCATTGTTTCTTATTCAATACTCTCCGTAACTCCAAGCAAACACGGACTCCTCCCTCGGTCCCCTCCAGTGATGCTGAGTAAGTACGGACGTGTGTCCCATTGGTTCTTACTTAATGAGATTTCATCTTCCCTAAAAGTCAAGAATAAACTTCCTTCATTTGTTGCCAAGGGCAGAACTCCACGGCGGAAAGGCACTCACCACGGCTCGAAGGGCAGAACTCCATGATTGGCTGAAGCTGGTTCGGCAGCTTCAAAGGACAAATCGACGACGGCCTACGTTGTCGGGCTGTCGCGGATTCGAATTTACCCGCCACGGAGGCATCCGAACCAAGAAGCAGCTTTCGATTGTGGCACACCCTCCAGTACGCAACCTGGCTCACCACGAATCTGGGTTGACTGCTCACCTACCAAGTTGCTTTTTTTCTGCTGTGCCATGGTGACTTGAAACAAGTATCAATGAACATACTGTAGGTAGTGTTATTCTGCTTGCTTCCTGTAAGTCGGTTTTTGCTCCAGTTACGTTGCTTCGCCAGTTCAGTTAGGTTGCTGAACTAACTTTCCTTTCTCATGGGCTCTGTGCTAGTATCTGTCATCGTTGTCGTCGCCGCGATCGGCGTGGGGTGGTGCACCATCGAGGTGACATGCCGGCCGTGCCTCTCCTATGTTCGAGCTAAGATGCGCGAGGAGCAGGAAGCATTGCTTCAAGATCATCAAACAGAATCCTAAGCCTCGAACCCACGTTTAACCTTGAGCTGCTGGTGACACTATCTGCCTTAAATCTTCCGTTTCTCAAGGTTCTACCTTATTCGGCTTCTTCCTTCGCTTTAAGAGCTCATCTCCTCCATGTTCCATCACACTCCAGTTTCAATCTCCCGTTGGAACTTGAGCATCCACACTGCTCGACGACCCCGCGTTACACGTTTGTATCACTTCTCGCAGCTTTGCCCGTCTCAGGCTTGTGATGGAGTAATATCTGCGGACTTACGTTATAAGGCTTTGAATACCAGGCACACCATGGTGCACCGCTTCCATTCTCTTCCCATCTCCGTACATCCCTCTAGCAATAGTCCGACGGGCAGGCGGCCACGCATCCCTCTTTCACGAGGCCAGCGGCAGTGGAAATAAAACAGGGAAATTACGATGTGGCGTGCACAAGAGCAAGCATATGGTGGTGCAAGGCATTGCAACAATGACAGTGCTCTGGGACTGAATTAGAGGATTGAGTATATGGTCGTTGAATGTTGCTTAGCATTGTAAGCCGTGGTAGTGAGCATTCGCTATATCAAATAATGACCCACCATTATGTTCTTGTGTGGCTGCAATCTTGAGCCTTCAATTAAATTTGAGGATGATCTTTGGCTGGTACCTATCAATAATGACCCAGAGTTAAAGGTCAGATGTCTTGACCTGCTCACGGCAATAATCACTTGATGCATGCTAACGGTACTACTATTCATGGTGTGCTTGGAATCAGGCACACTGGTGGTGCACCTCATTCATCCTCTTTACAGCCTCGCACAGCCCACCACAGCGCCAATCAGACACTGCCACACATCCCTTGTTCTCCTCCCTCTTCCGCCCACAGTCCTCTGTACAACCCATCCCATTAGAAACACAAGGGAAAGAGAAGTGGGTGGGGAGGGGAGGGGGGAGAAGGTAGGGCCAGTGGGGTCTGTTGAGTACACTGCAAGGGAACATGCTAGAAGTTAGAGATATCTAAATACACAAGTAAATAATGCATGATTTGCTTGCAGGCAACCACATCACAAGAATGAGAGTGAGGCACAGACAAGGAGCAACAAAGTGAGACTAGGGAGACCGTGTGGGTGTGTGGATGCAAAAGGAAGGAGCAAGTGGGACAACATATGCAGCAAAAATGGGAAAGGGGTGCGGTTAACCTTCAGGAGGCCTGGCACAACAGAGACAGTGGTTGTTGTGGCGGGTGGCAATCAGGCCAGCTGTACTGAAATCACTTTCGAGAAATCTCAAAGTAAAATTCCAAGTGATTAGTAAGTATTCCGAGAGTGACAAAAGCTGCAGCAGAGACGGGAGGGAGATGGTGACAACCTTCGGGAGGGCTGGCACAGCAGAGGCGGTGGTCGTTGTGGTGTGTGGCGGTGAGCCCCATCATCCAGGACCCCACCGATACGTCCTCGTTCGCATACTCATGCAGCAGCGCGCTGCCCATGGGGGGATGAAGTGATGGGGAGAATGAGGGCACGGGAAATAGTTGTGGAATGGAAGGATATCCGGGACAGGATGGAACGAAGCTTCAGACAAATACAGTAGGCTGATTTGAGAAAGAAAAAGAAGTGAGGAAGGACAGCAGAGAAACGGATGTTGCAAGAGGGGGGCGTATTCAGGAGAGCAACAGATAAAGAAAGACGATGGGAAGGAGGAGAGACGGGGCATGGCTTGCTGACCCATTAAAGGCAAGGAAAAGGGCGAGGTCCCGTGAGAGCCCATAGACCGGCGCAGCTGCATGCTGGAAGTACCTGCAGGGAGGGACACACGGTGCACGGTGCCCGGGGGTGGGGTGGCGGCAGAAGCACTGCGTGAGATCAAGGATAGGTTTGGCGATGAGTAGTTTGTATTGTAATGTAATGCATGTGAGGGACGGGGAGGAAGGGCACTGACACATGCACCGAACGAGCGTTTCAGGTTAAGGGTTGAGGAACAGGAGAGCACAGGTGAGGATACGGTGGGTTGCGAGGGTGTGGATTGACTATTGGATGCGTGGGTGGGTGGGTGGGTGGATGGGTGGATGGATGGATGGATGGATGGATGGATGGATGGATGGACGGACGGACGGACGGACGGACGGACGGACGGATGGATGGATGGATGGATGGATGGATGGATGGATGGATGGATGGATGGATGGATGGATGGATGGATGGATGGATGGATGGATGGATGGATGGATGGATGGATGGATGGATGGATGGATGGATGGATGGATGGATGGATGGATGGATGGATGGATGGATGGATGGATGGATGGATGGATGGGAGAGTGCGTGATTGGGTGGAGATCAATCTTAGCTGTTTTCCATCGCCGAATCGTGCCCACTCTGGCTCAAACCACTGCTGATTGCTGTCAGTAGGTCAGAGTGTGGGGGAGAGGAAGGAGGAGTGCGGAGGGGGAGAGAGAGGGAAAGGGGGAGGGGACATGGAGGGAATGAACGAAGAGAGGGGACAACGGGATGAGAGGAGACTATGGGGCAGGGGGGGATGAGGAAAGGAGGAAGCAGAGAAAAGGGAATAAGGAGATAAAGACTAGCACAGAAAGAGAAGGAGGGGGGAATACAATGCAGAGAGTGCTCTGACAGAAAGATAAAAAAATAAGCCCAGGACAGAATGAGTGGATGCATACACACTCACTTCGAGTCCTGAACACTGCGAGATGAACTATAATGTCCCACCATCCTGTGACCTGTTATATTATATTATCTTCACGCACTCCTTCCATGGAGCACGCCTACCCCCCTCCCCACCCGCCCCTTGCAATCACGGCTACTGAAGCATCCCATGTAGAGCCATGGGCAATCCTTAAGCCGCCTCAAGAATTACTTGAGCGCCTCAAACTCCCCTTGCATCCTCCTTCCCCTCCCCATTCCCTCTCCCACTCACGGCTCTGTGACCACAACACCGGACTTGAAGCATCCCATGTAGAGCCCTGACCGGTCCTTGAGACGCTGTAGGAACGACACCAGCTGCACTGCACTCGGAGGGAGGGGGCAGGGTGCGTGGTGAGGAGAGAGGAGAGGGGAGGAAGGGAGATTGGGAGAGCAGCATTCCATGTAGAGCCCTGACCGGTCCTTGAGACGCTGTAGGAACGACACCAGCTGCACTGCACTCGGGAGGAGGCGGCAGGGTGGGGGGGGGGCGAGGGTGGGGGAGGGCCAGTTTTGCGGGAGGGTGAGTTTGGGTAAGGGCCAGGATTGGGGGAGGACCAGGGTGGGGTGGGGTCGGCACGGTTAATGGGGCAAGACGAGGCGAGTGGGGTTAATGGGGGTAAGAGAGAAGGGAAGGATATGCGATGCTGGTTGGGAAAGGAAAACGATACGAAGTACTGTGCATGGTTCCTCACTGGAGCTTGCTGAGATGCATGTCATCGATGATTGACAGACAGACTAGAACTCCTCACAGCATGCTTCAAGGCGTCTCAACCCAACACTCACTGGTGCTGGTTGTGCATGGGTACTCACTGGTGCTGAGATACACATCGTCCTTGACTTTGAAGTAGAGGTCCGCGTCCCAGTGCAATGAGGCCACTTCTGATGTGCGCTGAATTTTGCAGGGAACGGACCAACACTCACTGGTGCTGAGATACACGTCATCGTTGACTTTGAAGTAAAAGTCCGCGTCCCAGTGCCGCACAGCGTACTCAAACAGGTGCTTCACCTTGCGCCCGCCACTCTTCTCCACCTCCTCGTACTCATCCTGCCAACCCACACAACCGCATCACCACCCACGTTCCCACCCAGCCACCCAACCGCCAGTTTGGCAACGCGCACACCCCCACCCCGCAGTGTTAGCACGTTGTTACAATGTTACACGAGACACAAGCAGAGGAGACAGCTCTCACACACCATTGCTCTAACACACCATTGCTCCGCTATCACACATAATAGCTCAGCGTCGCACCCACCATGACCACAACGACATTGTACTTGTCTCCCTCAAAGTGACTCACTCACACATAATAGCTGCGCTCTGTGCCCCACCCACCATGACCACAATATCGTTGTACTTGTCTCTCTCCTCCAGCATCGATGATAGGGAGATCTTCAAGTGACTCACACATAAGAGATATCCTCTGTGCGCCCACCATGACCACAATGTTGTTGCACTTGTCCCTCTTCTCCATCATTCCATTTGAGAAACTCGTCAAGTGACTCACAGTCCCTCACAAATAACAGCCCCACTCTCTCGGCACCCTGCCACCCACCATGACCACAATATCGTTGTACTTGTCCCTCTCCTCCAGCATCGCTCGGTCTAACGAGTCCCCGCGGTTTAAACTGCAACCAGCCACGGTTGGGGGAGTTAGGGGGAGTTGAGGAGAATTGGGCAGAGTTTTGCCACCTCCCTGTGACCGGTACCCCGAAGCGCACAGCACCGTATAGCAGAGCAGCACATAGAAGACCACCGCACCGCAGAGCACCGCATAACAGATTACAGGACAGCCGAGCAGAGGAAGGCAGAGCAGAGCGCACACACCTGTGGCCCACTGCAAAGCGCAGCACGACGCCCATCTCATCCTGCAGCTTCTTCAGAGCCGCTCCTGGTGCCATGGCAGGGTGAGCGGGGCGGGTAGGGCGGGCGGGGAGGGATGGAGGACGGGAGCGCGCACGGGAAGGAAAATTGGTAAGAAGCAGGGTATCAAGCACAAGAGCCCACACACGACGCCCATCTCATCCTGCAGCTTCTTCAGAGCTGCTCCTGGTGCCGTGGCAGGGAAGGCTGCAGAAGGCGGAATGGGTGAAGAGGGCGGGACAGCAAGGGCGAAAGAAGAGGTGGAGGGCGAAGGGAGAGGAGGAAGGTGAGGGGCGACGAGGAGATGAAGGGAACAGTGGCAAGAACCAGATTATCAAACGAAAGTGCCAACAGCCAATTGAGCACATGCAGGGTTATGTGCAGAAGTCAGTAGCTGTCCACTTAGCAGTCATCCTGGCCGTCCATTCATGCAAATTTGCGCAGATTCGCGCAGATTCATCATTCCCCTTCCCCCTCTCCCCTCCCCCCTCACCCATCCCCCATCTCCCTTCTCCCCATCCCCCCTCCCCATTCCCTCCCCTCCACTCCCCTCCTCTCTCCCCTCCCACCCATGCACGCACCAGTGGGCATCCACGTGCTGCGAATGGCCTCGCGCCTCAGCCTGTTCCCAAACGCTGTGCTCACCAGCACCGCCACCAGCAACCGCTCCCTCCGCCCCGCCCCACTCCCCGCGCCTCCCGCTCCCCCCACGCCTCCCCCTCCTGCCGCCCCTTCCCCCCCTGCCACCGCCCCTGCATGCCCGGCTGCGTCCACTCCCCCGCCTGCAGAGGTGTCTGGGCTGGCAGATCCGACGGCTGAGATGAAGCCACGTGTCTTGGCCTCCGCCATCTGTACCTGCAGCATGGCGTGGCGCTTCTCCAGTTCCCTGTGCACACGTGGCATGGGGGACAGGCCGGGGAGAAAGCAGGGGCGGGGAGAAAGCAGGGGAAGGGAGCGGGGGGCGCATACAGGGGCGGAGTCATGTAAGAAGAGAAATGTCTCAGGGGCAGGAACGAAACGACGGACGTGTGCAGAGAGACGAAAGGGAGAAGCGCGAAGAGGCAAACGTCGGAGGGAGGGGGAAAGGGGGGTGGGAGGCGGGGTGGGGGGTTAGGCCTGAGAAGTGACAGTAAAGAGCAGGCGGGAAGGGGAGAGAGACATGGGGAGGGAAGGGAAGCAGCAGCAGGTACTTCATACACGCTTCATGGCAGCAGAAGAGCAAGGGAGAAGATAAGAGCAGATAAGAGCGAATAGACTCCATTTGGTTGAGCTTTTGAGCGATGGCTTATTGGGAATACCTAAAAATGGCAGGAGTACTTGAGCTGAGCTTCTAAGGCGCCTACAGTGGCAGGAGTACCTGAGCTTGAGTGTGAGTATGCTGTCTTCAACTGAGAGAGGCTTGGCGCTCTTATCCTGCTTGCCTCAGCACAGGCACGCACAGGCACGCACAGGCACGCACAGGCACGCATAGGCACGCACAGGCACGCACAAGCACACACAGGCACGCATAGGCACACCTAGAGGTCTGAACGGCAAGAACGTTGCTGACACGTGGTGGTGGGCAACGATTGCAGCAATCACAACAGGCCGAGCAGATACATTACGTAGAGATGGATAGGCAGACGGACTGATAGACAGAGGGACAGACAGACAGACAGACAGACATACAGACAGACAGACAGCAGCGAGCAGCAACATCAGGGACAGAAACCGCATGCGAGAGGCTCACTTGTTTCGACTGGCCTCCAGCTCCCATGCCCTTTGCCTCCTGCAGCAGCTTCTTCTGCACCTGCACGTCTCGCCATAGCCTGCAGCGCAGCGCAGGCAGAACCGCAGTGGCTTGACATGGTAACACACACAGAGCGAAAACTGAAACAGCTCTCAAAGGCAATAAGCAATCTCAACAACGTGTTAACGCCAAATCGACGGGATTTGGGAGGCCATTGGCTTAGAAAATCCGGCATTAGACGATCTATTTCACGGTCCACCCAGTTGTTTCCGCCACTGGTTTTGGGTTGACTGCAAAAGTGCCTGAAGCACAGCCGCCATCCACACTCCTCAACTGATCGGTGTCACGAGGCGTTTCAATGCGCCGGGGAACGCACCTTCCACCTGTGTAGCGTGCAGTGTGCAACAGTTGCTTTCAGAGGAACTTTTGAGTCGGGTCAAAACGTCGCCTCTGCTTCTTGAGGCGTATCAAAAGGAAAACGCACCTTCCGCCGGTGTAGAGCGTGGCGAGACAGCTCATAAGCACGAGCACGGCGCCTGACAGCCGGCCGTTGCTTGCGGGACGAGGCCGTCCCCGCGATCCCACCGCCATGGCCCGTTCGCCCGGGAATGTGAGGACGACCGTGACGGTGACGGTGACGGTGAGGGTTACGATCCGTCAGCGTGAATCACGCGAGTAAGGGTGAATTTCCGTGCTCCACGCACGGAGGATGCGGAAGTTGCGGGGTTATAGACTTGCGAAGATTTGACAGAGAGAGAGCGAGGAGAGTGTCGGCTGCTTGGACTAAATCTAACGCGAATGTTATAGACGAGACATCAGATGCGAGATACGGGCACCGAATAAGTGACAGGCGGGAGCCACGACTGGATGCTTCAGTGATTGGCTCACTGGTCGGGAATCTAACTCCAAGGTCGGCTTTGGCAGGGCTGTGAAACTCAAAGATGTAAATCTGACTCCCAGTGCCAACATCGCATTCGCGCACTAGAACCACTAGCAGTACCAGACATTCAACCAGGAAGACCTGATATTTGGACGAGACGAGGCATCAGGCGTGAGTAACTAACAGGAGGATCTATGATGAAAGAGGATCAGTGATTGTGGTGTGGAATCGGACTTCCCAAGGGTAACCATTTTTGAATCTGACTTGCGGGCATGCGTTCAGCCGAAGGCAACTGGAAAAGACTTAGCCAGAAAGGAACAGCTCCATGTATCCGCGAAGTTTTGTACTGTCGCATAGTAGCTTTCACGATCGTTAGCGAAGTCGCAGGGACTTTTGATTGGTCCAGGCCGGTTAGCTGTAGCAGGTGAACCAACCTATCGATTGAACGATACTCGATTAATGGGTTTAAAGAAACAAGATTCTAGATTTGTTCATTATACTATCTTCTGTACATCAAACATCAGCCTGCTTAATTATGAAATCAGACCTAACCCTAATCCTTAGCTGATATAGATATGATATATATTTGAATATATGATTAAGCAGACGTAACAGATTTTACCAGTTTGCTTCTGCTTGCCGAACATGTTAGCGTTGTGTGTGGATCTACAGAGTGGGAAGCGAGAAACAAAATCATAATGGAGACCTGCGTGGAGGGGATGGAGTGAAGTACTGTCAAGTTGAGACCATGTGGATGATTGACGTGCCCGACTGCAGGAACTCCCGCGCAGAGCCTCACACGGGCAGAGCCCAACAGCGCCGGTCCTGTCCAACGGACAGAGAATTTCCCCATCTGCGACCCACTACACCACGGATGACCTAAAAACCAGTGCACGAAACTTTGCTTACAGACCGCGCTTCGTACGCCCAGGGGGTGCTCTTTTGAGGGCAACCGCATGTGGTGTGACTCCGACCATGCGCTGCGACAGTACCATCCCACTTCAATTCCCCAACCAGTTGTCACGGGACATGCGACAACGCATCGCGGCACGACTCGTCGCAGTGAGCGCGAGATCTCCGAATCAGCGACACTCACCACCACACGACCGACCGACCGACGGACGGACAGCCGCGCGACGCTGATCATGAAAGGCGGTGCGAGAGGCAGCCCCCGTTTCCAGAGACTCCACGAATTCGAGCCAACGAGTCACACTTCCCGTCATCAATACCTGATAGGCAGCCTTGGATGTACAAAAGTCGGCGGCACTCATTTCCAATTCATCATCGAATTTGATCACACCTCCTCATCAGCCTCCAAAACCCTCAAGCCTCTTCCATCGTCAGTTCCAGTACTCCAGCTCTCGATCATGGCTCGCGTTTTCTTCATCTCTTTACTCGTCCTAGCGCTGTCATGCGCCGCGTGTGTGTCTGCGGCGAAAGTGGTTCGCGACGGAACTCTGCAGTGGACTCTCATCACCCAGGCCCTACAGAAGGGAGGCCAGCACAGCACCTATCTCTCCATCGTCAAGAAAGCAGGTTAGTAGCCTTCTTCAGCGGGATTCGGCTTCTCTCCTCTCGTTCATCGAGGCAATTTATTTCGTTGCACCGAAAACTGTCAGTTGCGACGTCGAAACTCGTCGCTGCTCTCTACGCGTGATCTAAAAGATGCATAAATTTTTGTGGTTTTTGCCGTGCAGGCACCAAGTTTATCACGGACTACCTCTCCACCTCCACCACTGGCTTCACCTGCCTCGTACCATCAAACGCTGCGTTCAAAATTCAGCCGGCTACCGTCCTGGTAACTACACTCGCCGCTTATGCAAGGACTCTCACCCCACTGTTTTCTCGCTTTCTCGACTCTCCTACGAACTCTCAAACACTCCTCGTGTCCTTCGCGCTTACGCTGCTCTGATTTTCTGCTGCCCGTGCCGTTTTCTGACAACCCGTGCTAATTCTTATTGCGCTGCGCAGAAGCCGTGGGCGAAGAGCGCGGCGACTCTCCAGGACCTTCTGAAGAACCACATGCTCAACTTCCAGGCCCTGCCCCAGCGCTTCGTGAAGGACAAGGTCGGCCAGGGATACAGCACGTTCCGCACCAACGGCCAGATTCAGAAGTACAAGGGCGTCGGCAAGACTATCAGCTTGGGCCCGCAGTTCGCGCAGCAGGGCACGCAGCTGGCGAACATCACCAAGAAGCTGTTCCAGGATCCCACGGCCATCTGCTACGAGATCAGCAATGTCCTCGTTCCCCTCAAGTAGCTGAAGTTGTGGGATTAGCAATAGCGCGCGCATGGTCTCTTATAAATCATGTCAGCAGCACTGGTGCCAGACTTGTTCTCGTAGGAATATACTTAGTGCCTCGTTCGGCAGCCAAGGATACCTTCGTTAGTGTGAGTGCATACGTATCGATGCCATATGTGCGGATTTGTTGTAATAAATACGGCTGCTAGCACTTCAAGGATCCACCTTGGTTTGAGATTGACATTCTTTCAAGCGGGTTTTGCATTCGGAAACACAATATCAGGGCGGTTCCTCATTCCCTCCATACTCATTGCCAAGACCCTTTCATTACTCGGATATAATAAATAACAGTGCCGTGTCCCCTTCTGATGAGTAAAATAAAGTGTCAAGATTGTAGCAATGCCAAACGGAACTAACGTAACGTCGCGCATACCACCACCCCGCTGTTCAGGAAATAGTTGCCGCTTCCAATCTTCTTGTTTTCAATACCTTTGACCGCCACCACTTCGCGCGCGTCCCTTCAGAAGTCGAATTTGCCTGTTTCCTCTAATACGGGTTTCGCTGCGGACTGGAGAGTCCGTCACTAACGTCGCTTCGGTTTTATCCGCCGCGCTTCGCCGCGACCTGTTCACGAACTTGGACCGTAGCGTGTATAGCGCGAATCGTATATAGCGCGAATGCAGCGTGTACTCCCTGCAGCGTCTTCTGTTTGGTGTGAGCATGGGCATAAGAATAACCACGGGCACGAGCATCATGAGCTGCGCCACTTGCCGGCAGTGCGTGCATGCATTTGAGAAGAAGAGCAAGGTGATCCGAAGGGCACAGCGGCAACAGCTGAAGCAGGGTCGGGTAGGGGTGGCGATGGTTTATTCTATGAAGAGCTGCTGGATGCAACGCGGAGGATGCACGACTGAACAGGAAATGCGATAATTATGGTGGATCCTCGTTCTCTCGTGGGTATGTTTACATGCTAGCAGCGGCATCTATTACAACAAATTCTTACAGCCTATTGCATTGATTCCTGTGTACGCACTACTAACACGAAGGTATCCATGGCTGCAGAAATAGTACGAGGTACATATCCTACGACAACAAGTTTAGCACCGGTGCTGCAGACGTTAATAAGAGGCCGTGTGCAGCGATTGCTAACCCCACCACCGCCCATTTACTTGAGGGGAACCAGGACGTTGCTGATCTCGTAGCAGATAGCCGTGGGGTCCTTGAACAGCACCTTGGTGACGTTCGCGAGCTGCGTGCCCTGCTGCGCAAACTGCGGGCCCAAGCTAATCGTCTTGCCGGCGCCCTGGTACTTCTGAATCTGGCCGTTGGTGCGGAACGTGCTGTATCCCTGGCCGACCTTGTCCTTCACGAAGCGCTGGGGCAGGGCCTGGAAGTTGAGCATGTGGTTCTTCAGAAGGTCCTGGAGAGTGACCGCGCTCTTCGCAAATGGCTTCTGCGTGGCGCAATAAGGCACGAGCACGGGATGTCAGAAAAAGACCCAAGGAGACGTGAGCGACGTGCGAAGGGCTCATCGCGAAGAGATTTTGCGAGGTGTGTATGAGAGTCCGTAGAAGAGTTTTGGAACAAGAAAACAGTGGGTGAGAGTCCTTCCATTTGTTTTGCAGCGAGAGTACTTACCAGGGCGGTAGCCGGCTGAACTTTGAACGCAGCGTTTGACGGTACGAGGCAGGTGAAGCCAGTGGTGGAGGTGGAGAGGTAGTCAGTAATAAACTTGGTGCCTGCGCGCCACAACAACCTCGGCATCGGTTAGATCACGCCGAACAGTGCTGCGAAAAGTTTCGACGTTACGGCAACTGACGAATTCGATATTAGAATATCGATCGCCTCGCAAAACTGATGGAAGAGAAGCTGAATTTCATTAAAGGAGTCTACAAACCTGCTTTGTTGACGATGGAGAGGTAGGTGCTGTGCTGGCCTCCCTTCTGCAGCGCCTGTGTGATGAGAGTCCACTGAAGAGTTCCATCGCGAACCACTGGTGCGGCAGATGTCCGAGAGACGCACGCGGCGCACGACAGTGCCAGGACGAGTAGAGCGATGGAGGAAACGCGAGCCATGATCGAGTGCTGGAGTGCTGGAACTGAGAGTAGGAATGGCTGAATAGTCGAGGGAGATAGAGCGACAAGTGATCAAATTCGATGATGATTTGAAAAGCGAGTGCCGCCGACTTTTGTACCACCGAGGCTGCGTATCATGTGGTCTTGACGTGAAGCGTTGGCTCGAATTCGTGGAGTCTCTCACGACCCACGTCATGTCTTCTTGACGTGACGAGCGTCGCGCTGCTGTCCGACGGTCGCCCGTGTGTTGAGCGTCGCTGGTTTGGTAATCTCGCTGCGGCGAATCGTGCCGCGATTCGTTGTCGCATGTCTCGTCACTGCTGATTGAGGCTTTTAGGTTCGGCCATTATCTCCGACACTCAAATTTTGCCTGAGCGCGTTCTCAGGTGTAATCACCAACAGAAACACGGTTTCGCGATATAGCTGGAAGCTTTTCTGTCTCGTGTTTGTATACGGTCATTCAAAAAAAAATTGCAGCGCTTGCAAAAAAATAAATATAAAACCCGTAGCGAACCTAGATGATTTCCAGGAAGGATCAACCCTAAAACCGCCCAATATTTTGGAAAACATAATGCAACTCATTTGACCAAAAAAAAAAAAAAAAAAAACCCAATCGGAAAGGGATGCGACTCGGGAGGCATCAACCCAAAAAACAATGCCCCTTCCCGCGTTTAGGGTTGACCCCTCTCGAAAATGCATCCAGGTTCCCTAGGGGTTATATTTTTTTCTGCCATGCCCGAATAGTTCACGGTAGCGTCGTCTAGTGCTCTCGGTTGCGTTGATTAGCGGTCGGTTGCGCTACCGAGTACTGCCAAGTGGATTATATCGGCTTCATTCTCTTACTACCTAAATTTCCGTACTTACATCCAAGTCGGGAGGGAAAACTGGATGTCTCTGTTTTTGTTACTTCCTAATGAGTTCGACCAGTGTGAGAAATTTGACTATAAAGCGACGACCAATCAACGTTGAGAAAGTCCAGTTTGATTACACCTGAGAACGCGCTCTGGCAAAATCTGAGTATCTGAGATAATGGCCGTTTTAGGTTTTAACCAATTACATAGATCATAAAGCAATAGGAAAAATGGCAATATGGCCAGCTGCCTATTGGAGTACGTAAACACACGTCATTCTGCTATCCTGCGGGGATTTCCCAGCAAGGCTGAGGATTTCCTATGTTTGGAGGCAGAGCGTGTTAGAATCTAGCAGCAGGAATGAATCAACTAGCAAAGTGTTGGGTACAAGTATGAAACCCTAAAAGGGGCTGTACCCCATATTGGCTACCCCACTACAGCCTAAACATGTATAGCATACATATAATTTGACACACCCCCATAGGCAAAGTGGGGGAGAGCAAGGGGTCACAAGACCAGTCAAGAGAAGCAAAGCAAGCTCAGGGTGGATCACAACGTCACCACACACACTGAGCACAAGCAAACGGCCACAAGGCCAGTTCACATGCAGAGGTATATATGCAACAACAACAGCACAGTGATCTCTACCTAGCAGAGCAAGCATGCAGGTATATATATAGATCACAGTACAAGCAAAGTCTACAGCAAGTGAGGAAACGTGGGCACAAGGCCTAACAAAGTACAAAAACGCTGATGATCACCAGACGGAAGTGCCTTGGTGAATATATCAGCAGTGTTGGCCTGAGTGGCCACGTGAGCAAGACGAAGCTGACCACGCTGCTGCAACTCTCGAGCAAGGAAGTAACGCAGAGCGATGTGCTTCGTTCTGTGCTCCAGTCTGTGCTCCTGACACAAGGCAATGGCGGCCTTGTTGTCTACGTACAGCACTGGAGGAGAACGAGGCCGCTCTCCAAGGTCGGTCAGCAGGTAGGTGAGCCAGCGTAGCTCCTGTGCAGCCATGGCTGTGGCGTAGATCTCAGCCTCACAACTGGAGCCGAGAACAGAGGACAAACGTGTAGACCGCCAAGAAACAGAGCCAGAGCCAAGGCTGAAGGTGTAACCCTGTGACGACCGCTGCGTAGCCAGGCCGTCAACCCAAGAAACGTCTGAGTGCCCAGTGAGGACAACTGGGCTCCGCCCTCCAAGCACGAGCCCCATGCCCGATGTACTGCACAAGTAGCGCAGTACCCTCTTAGCAGCATCCATGTGCACCTTTCGGTGCCGACCAGGAGCCACGTAGCGAGCCAGAAGGCCAAGAGGGTACGCAAGGTCAGGACGAGTGCAGGTCATCAGGTACATGAGGCAGCCAACTAGCTCTGGGTAAGGACCACTCGGCTCTACGGACTCGTCCGAAGGTGGAGCTGAGAGCGAGTGACCTGTAGCCAGAGGAGTGGCCTGTGCCGAGGACCAGGTGAAGCTGAAGCGCTGAAGGACCTGCTGCACCATGTGTGACTGAGTCATTGTGATGGTGCGACGTGCTCTGTCCCGGGTGATCTGCAAGCCAAGGTAACTGCGCAGCTCACCCAGGTCTGTGCACGTGTGTCTCTTCTGCAGCTCCGACTTTACCAGGGCGAGAGCCTCAGTGTCAGCAGTGGCAAAGACCAAGTCGTCGACGTACACGAGGATGTAGAACGACGGCAGCGAAGTGTCGGTGCGGAGAAACAGCGACGGGCCAGCAGTCGACGGAGCCAAACCAAGAGCAGCAAGTGTCGTCCTCAGTGTGTCGTGCCACTCACGTGGCGCCTGGCGGAGACCGTAGACCGGCCGCCGGAGGCTCCACTGGGTACCAAGAGGGAACGACCCAGTGAAGCCAGGAGGGCAGCGCAGCCAGATCTCCTCGTGCAAGCTGCCCTGTAAGAAAGCTGTGCTGAAGTCAAGAGAGTGAAGCTCGTAGTTACGCTGAGCGGCAACGTGCAGCAGTACCCGAAGAGTGGTCATCTTCGGGGTGGGGGAGAAGGTCTGGAAGAAGTCAACTCTCTCTCGCTGACTGAAACCTCGAGCAACGTAACGAGCCTTGAAGACAGGCGGAGAA